CCCAATGGAAAGCCTCATTCTCCCCGGGGAGAGCAAAGGGGATTGGATAGGGGCCTGGTGTGGGCCAGGGGAGGAGGAAAGGGAATAAGAACTGGGATTGACATGTAAAACAAGCTTATTTCTAATTTAAATTTTAAAAAGAAAAAAAAAAAACCCTACAAGCCAAGACAGCTCCTTGGATTACCCTATAACAACTAAGAAAATTTTATTTGTAGCTAAAATGTTTCTAAAAGGAAATATCCACATCTAGATATTTTAGAGAAGAATTCACATCACTCTTCCAAGAATTAGAGGATCATAGATTTCCTTATATTATGAAGCTCATATCATCTGGATTCCAAAACACATAAAGACAGTACAAAGAAGAAAAAAGAAATCAAAAATTGAGAAAAGTGTCTTTCATAAATACATGTCACCAACACCTTACCAAAATATTAAACAGAATTCAGCAATACTTTTTAAATCACACACTGTGAGTAAATTGGTTTTATTTTAGAGAGGCAAATCTACACTTCATTATTTGAAAAGTCATCATATCACAATCACATGTCATAAAACTCAATTCCTGTTCATAGTTTTAAAACCCTCAGATTAGAGAAAACAGCCTTCAGTTTGAAAAAAAAAAAAAAAAAAAAAAAAAAAAAAAGAATCTAAAAGAAACACCCACAGCTACTATTATTCTTAATGATGAAACACCAACTGCTACCTCTCTAAGATAAGAACAAGGCATTATCAGTGTAGTGCTGAAAATCTAAGTAATACTTTCACTTTGGGAAAGACTCCATAAAGAATGTGGAAGTTACAATTTGATAAGTATTTTCAAGCCAAGTATCTGAAGGATTTTGTTTGAAAATCTGGAACATTCTCTAAATCTTTAGGCCTTCAACAGTAAAAAGAAAACAAACAAACAAAAAAAGAACCTAAGACATGAACAGATATTTCAGTAAAGAAAATATATAGATGGCAAATAGTCATGCAGGGAGTTATTAAACATCCCTACTTTTAAATACACATGGGGAGGGGTTGCAGAAGTTACATACCTATCAAAAAGTCTAAAACAAAATACATTAGCATTGAATGATACTGGTGAGGATGTTGAGACATGATAAATATTTGTTGAGAGGAAATACAAAGTGGAAAACTGACAGTGTTAAATATATATATGAACAGTGAAACTATTTTATTATCTTGGGAATTATAATCCAGACTATTTACCACACAGATATGGAACTTAATGTTCACTCAAAATCCTATATGAGAATGTTCATAAACGTTTTATTCATAATATCCAAATTAAAAATAAGCCACAAGTTCTTGCATGGTAAACAGAAAAATAATCTGACATATTGAACAGTATTTGGCAATAAAAATGCACATGTCTGATAAACATAACTCAAATAAATCTTTAGAGAATTGAACTTAGTGTGTAAACCCAACCCATCAAAGATTAGGTACTCAAGTTTCCATTTACATAACATTCTTTTAAAACAAAACAAAACACAAAACCAGAGGTTAGAGAGATTACTCAGCAGTTGCTGCTCTTTCAGAGGGACCTGAGTTCAGTTTCCAGCACCTGTGTCAGGCAGCTCTCAATTGTCCATAACTCTAGCTTCCGGTGATCAGATGTCTGTAGAATATTTGAGCACCTGCATTCACTCACACACACACACACACACACACCTACCCATCATTAAAATTTAAAAATTAGATACGTGGAGAGTGTTTTGGTGATGTTGGTGACAGCCACAGACAGGATGACAGTGGGAAAGAAGTGGGCGTGATTAGAACATTGCAACATGGAAGAAATACAGCATGAGGGATCTGCTGTATATTGTATGCAAAACATAAGATATACAATGTATAACACAAGGATGAACCATTAAAAATCATGGAGCAACTTTTGTATTTTAATTGTGTCGATATCAGTAGTAATGCATATTATAGTTTGTAACTGTTGGATATCTATAATTTGATAATAAGGAGAAAGGAGATACATGGAATCTGTCTTTTCAACCAAGGCTTTTTATCTGGGTCTCACTTAGCTGGAACTTCTTTGCACTGAGGATGCCATCGGCATTGTTTAGGTCCTTGGGCAGAAGCTCTGTGTGAGCAATCAGATGACAGCATCTGTGAGTAGTCAAGCCTAGCAGACTCCAGCCCCAGCCACCTGATTTCCAGCTGCCTGCAGCTAGCTAAGTCTGTGTGAGCCAGACTAAGTGTCCTCAGAAGCCTCTGTAGAACTGCAGATTTGGTGCAAAGGAAACACTTGCTGCTGTTTTTAGCCACTAATTTCAAAGTGGTTTATTGCATAGTGGTGGGTGATGGGGAGAAGATGACGTTTGCTATGAATACTCCATGGAAAAAGAAAAGTATATCTTCACTGAGACTTGTGGGAGCAATGATGGCATTTTAAAAAGCATTGCCAAATTGAATAATTCAAGCCTGGTTTCATTCCATTAAATCTCAAGGAGGTTTCATTATAACCACCACAACTCCAAAGTACATATTGAGTATGTATGAGGAGTTTTATACCACTTATGTCCATAAGACACAATCTCAGTGATTGATGTGTGTGTGTGTGTGTGTGTGTGTGTGTGTGTGTGTGTGTGTGTGTATGATGCTCAAGTGGGATGTTGTTTGAATTTTAGGAATTTGTGGCCCAGATTAGCTGACGTTGGGATACCTTTGAAATATTTTTAAGATATCAACAATACATAATTATTATTGACTTATAATTAGACATGATTATTTGAGTGCTGTCTCAGTGGTTAAGAGCTCTTTCAGAGGACCCAGGTTCAACTCCCAGTACCCACATGGTGGCTCACAACTGTCTGTAACTCCAGTGCCAGGGGACCCAAAACCCATGGCAAAACACTTATGCATAAGACAACAACAACAACAAAGAAAATGTTATTTGAAAATTGGTTTTATAGACTATATGTTAATGTGGCTTGTTAAAATACATGCTTTTGCAAGTGTATATTTGTCAGTTGTTTGCCTTATGCCTATGATAAAATATCTGGAAGACAGGAGGAAGTGCTATGCTTGATTCATAGTTCAAGAGTACAGTTCATAACATCAGGGAGGTAACTGAGGGATCTGGTCACATGACAAAGAAGGAAAAAGAGTGATGGGTACTGCACTCAGCTCGCATTCTTCCTTTTGTCTTGAACTGCAGCCCATGGAATGGTGTTGCCTACAGCTATGTGGGTCTTCATGCCTTGATTATAGTGATTCTAGATAAGTCCTTACTGGCATTCTGGAAAGGTTTTCTCCTGAGTGACTTGAGATCCTGTCAAGGTAACAATCAGTATTGATTATCACAACTAATTACTGATGGAAACTCATCTGTATGTCCACTACCTCTGGCCAATTAGCCAGGCTACAAATGCCCTTCTGTGTTGTTATTCATTTAAATTCTGCTGTAATAACCTGCCATGTTAGCATGGTAGGCACAAGAAGACTAAATGCATAATTACAATAGGCACAGGAAGTAGTGGTCTATTTTTTTTTTTTTTTTTGCTTTCTGTTTATCTTTCAAGCAGTCATTTAAATATTTCTTAATAACCCCTCCCCTGCCTAGATTAAGCTTGCTTTAGCTGGGAATTCCCAGTTTATTTGCTCAGGAGCAGTTTTCTGTTTGTCCCCTCCAACATAAAAAGAGCATACAAAACTCTGTAAAAGCTATTGTAAAAAAGATTCATAATCTTATTACCCATATAAAATTATTCCAAATTCTACCTTCACTTTGTCAGGATGAATTCCTGACACCGAGAAATGAAGTGTATTCACTGATGAAATTAATATGTAATTCTCTTTAAAAAAAATGCTAACTTATTTTTTGAGAGCTGGTCTGGATATGTGGCCTGAAATTCTCATTCTCTTATTTTTTTGAGAGCTTGTCTGGATATGTGGCCTGAAATTCTCATTCTCTTGCCTCAGCCTCTCAATTGCCGAAGTTACAAGTGTAAGATACCATGCCCAGCGATAATGTGCATTCCACACTTCAATCCCCTTTAGTCAGAATGCAGTGAAGATTCATGATCAAATAAGAGAGTCTAGCTTAAGCTTATTCTGCTGTCTCATGGTTTTATTCACAGAGATACTAAAGGATGAGCCTTCTAACTCTAATAATAGAGAAATTGCCCGACAAGAACTTCTTTACTCTCTACATAGGCTGCATGAACACATGAATTTTTTTGGTACTGGTTGGTTGGTGGTCACTAGTGTGTGCCCTTTGACCTGCACAAGAGATTTGCGACCACCAGGGGGCGGGGAAGCTCTAGAGCTCTTGGTGCAAGCTGCCAGGGGGCGTGGCTTCTGCATCTTTGACAGACAGCAAAGGAAGGATGCAGGCGAGGATGAGGTAATAGCAGGCTGAACGAGGAGGGCGTGGGGTTGTCCGTGCGCGTGTGTGTGTGTATGTGTGTGTGTTTGTGTGTGTGCGAGTGTGAGTGTGTCCGTGCGTTCGCAAGCCGGAGGAAAATGCGAGCCTCGGAGCTCGCGTCGCGGACCCGGCCAGCGCTGCGCTGAAAACAAAAAGACACAGAAAGTTCCATCTTTGAAGATACTGCAAAGTTAAAGACCCGGCTGTGGCCGCCGGGGTCGGGATGGTGCGCGTGCTCTCGACACCAAGGGACTAGGGAAGCATCTGCGGGCGCGAGCTCGCCCTGGCGCACTGCCGGGGAGGGGCGACTCCTTCTGGAAGCCACTGAGCAGAGCCGCAGGGAGGGGGAGCTGTACCGCCGCGGTCGCTGCGCTCAGTACGGAGAGAGGGCGGAGGGCGTGACCGTGCGGTGCGATCCACGCGGGCGCCCGCGGAGCCCGAGGCGCAACTGGTGCGAGGCGGCTGCAGCGTCGCTCGAGCTGGCCGCGCGCCCCCGGGTGGCTTTGCAAGGCGGGGCGGCGAGTGCGCAGGGCCGGGCCTTTGCATGAAGCCGCTGGACCCTTCGGAGAAGCAGAGGCAGCAGTGGCGGAGCCCGGCGGCGCGCGATCGGAGGCGGGCGGACCCTGGGTCCGCGTCCCGGTGCCTGCACCGCTGCGGACTTCCACATGGGCAGCAGCTGAGGCTGCTTGTGGCTGCGGGGCGCGGGGCAGGGGGCGCGGTCCAGGCCCGGAGGCGCCGGCGCCGGAGGAAACGCAGGAGGCCCGGCCAGCTAGGCGGGCAGCGCTGCGCCACAGCCCCGGGCTCGCCATGCTCCTGGCCTCGGCCGTGGTGGTGTGGGAATGGCTGAACGAGCACGGCCGCTGGCGTCCCTACAGCCCGGCTGTGAGTCACCACATCGAGGCGGTGGTGCGCGCGGGTCCCCGCGCCGGGGGCAGCGTGGTACTGGGCCAGGTGGACAGCCGGCTCGCGCCCTACATCATCGACCTGCAGTCCATGAACCAGTTCCGTCAAGACACGGGTGAGCCGCCCACATACCTTGTCTATCCCGGGAGCTACTGCCCTCGTGGTTGTGGGTTGTGGGCAGTTTCTTTTACTGGCGTCAGCGATTGGTGTTGAGGGCAGGTGCTTCCTTCCTTGGATCCCATCAGGATTCCATGACCACCTCCAAATAAATGTCCTTCCAAGTAGTTTATTGATTATGCAAACTCAGCTACAGTCTAGCCGCAGGAGACCCGTCTCTACCCCCTTTCAGCCCCTAGTGGCTCTTTGTGCAGGAACTCTAGGGCTTTACAGCCCTCCCCCCCACCCCCAGGCAATGCTTACCAAGCAAGACATTGTGTAGCCCGATGGCTGCTCACACCTTGGCTGAACCTGCTTTGTCTCAAGCACACTTGGGGCTACCATATCCTACCCCCCTTAGTCTTACTGTCTCTGGTTCTCTTCTATAGACCCAGCTTTCCCAGTGTCCACTCCTGGGTATGAGACTTGGGAAGGCAGAGGGATCCTCTGGCTCTATTTGCAGTCTAGTGTGTGAAAGTGCTGTAACATAACTAGGAAGAGAGAATGGAGCCAGGGTTTCCAAAGCTGGAAACATCCTGGATGTGGTGGCATCCACAGATACCTCTGCTTGTATACTCCAGTCACTGAAGCAACAGGCCAGAGCAGATGGAGAGAGGAGGGGGAAGGACTGGGCTCTGGAATGCCTGGCAGGGAAGCTGCTCCCTTTGTCCATGGAGGAGGAGGGAGGAGTAGGTGGAAGGCTAAGAAGAAACTGTCCCCAGATTTTTTTCTTAAAGTAGCACACAAGGGCCACTGTGGCCTGCCAAGGCCCTAAACTCTTGTCTTCACATAAAAACCAAGCTGCCAGCAAAACCACTACAGATCTCCCAGCTGTGCATCCTTTAGCCAGGAATGGAACTACAGAGGTTAGAATGTGGGTTGGGAGTCACTGGAGGGAAAGGAAATCACAGTTGCTCTGTTTCTGGGTCTAGTATGGTCAAGTTTAACTGGTGACCTGGGACAAGTTTCTGTCACCAGAGAGTAATCTTTTTAATTGGGAGTCATTTCTGGAATTCTGGCTGGCCTTTCCCAAGGGTGTAACTGCAGAGCCTGGAGAAGCAGGTGTGGTTGGAGGAGAGGAGGATATGAGGAGGAGGGCCCTGTGGCTTGGGGAACAGCTGCTGGACAGGTCCTCTGAACTTCCTAGGAAAACCCTCACATCCTGTGTGCTAATTGGAATTGTCATGGGAAAGAAGTATAGTTCCTCCCTCTTGTAATCTGTAGTCATAACTCTGAACAACCTCTTTGCCAAGAACTCTATGACCCTGGCCAATGGAGGAAAACTTTCTGGGAAGAAAAAAATTCCAGAAGTTTTAGCATCTGGCGGGAGGAGCTGAGAGAATAAAGAGCCATGCAGGGAGGTGGAGAAAGAGGCTTAAAATGTAGGAAGAAGATGCAAGATGCTGATGTGGCTTTGGGTAGAGGATGTGGAAGTGAGGCATGGAGTGAGGCCTCAGATGGAGGGCATGTGTGGAGTGTGTGTGGAGGAAGCATCTGAGCCATGGAGGTGGGATCAGCAGACCACCTGACAGGGAGTTCCAGGCCTGCTCAAAATAAAACAGCAAGTTTAGCTCTTCTATTTCAGACCGAGTCTGTGCAGCATATGGAGATGCATTCTAGTAACAGGCAAGCCCCATCCTCTGCCCCACCGTTAGGAAGTCAGAGGTTTAATCTGCATTTGGGGTCATTTAAGATGGACATAGAACTAGGAGCAGCATGACCTAGATGGTGTTCTTGCCAAAAGTGAATTTTTAGAGAATCTGGAATGAATGACCATATCTCCTTCCCAGGATCTGACTGCTGGTGGCTCTTCTCAGGGCAGTAATCTATAGCCTAGTAGTTATAGCGGGTCACTCAGCACTAGAGCTTCTTCTGTTTCATGTCTGAGAAATAGCCACAATCCCTGGCAAGACTCTGCCACTGAGCTGCTCCTTCTGACTCTGCACCTCTTTAAAAAATATGATCTAGGTATTTGCTTCAGGTTGGCCTCAAACTGGCCAGCCACCTGTCTTAGCCTCCCAAGTGCTGGGATTGATTACAGTTGTGCATCACCTCCTCCAGCCTGCATCCTTCTAAAGATGGCCTGTGTGTCTCACATCCACACTACTTGGCTTCATCCCCCCTTTCCTGCTGCAAGATCACTTTCCTAGGCACCTCTCTCCTCCATGCCAACTGTTAGGCTGGGATACTAAAGGCATACATAAGGTTGAATTCCTAGAAAGGCTGCCAGGGAGCTTGTCAGTGCAGATTAGAATTTCTTCATGTCAGCTCTGACCCCCTTTTGCTCCCTTCTTCATCCACACAAGAACTCGGTCCTCTCAATATAGACCATTGATGAGACTAGACATAGTAGGAACTTTAAGCCACCAGCTCCCAGGCAACCTCAGCCAAGCCCTGACAATGTTTAATTAAATTATTCACTGTCCCCAAGCCACACTGTAAAGCTGGGAACAGCAACAACAACAAAAAATCCCTATAAAGGCAGACTAGCTGGAAGTTCCCTGCCTAGAGGCAATTCCTCTTTCTTTGGTTGTCTTGTTTTATAGGCATTTGACATGAGAGCTTTCTCTTTTCAGAGTTGTATGCCTGGATACCTAGTGAGCTTGGTCTCTCAGAGCTCTTGACTGCATCCAGACTGTCTCCAGGGAGATGGCTGGGAGGTTGCAGACACCCATCTGCCTGCTTCTGTTTGCCCTGGGTTCTCCTACCCCAGACTTTTGCAGATAGGAGCTGATTTGCATCCTATAATACCTTTCTGTAGGCATTTGAGCTGGAGAATATTGAAGAAGGTAAGGAGGGAGAGGGTTCCGGACCAGCCTTGGTGGAATCCTCTCCATCCAAAGTCCTCTACTGTCATTTTCCTTTTCTTTTGTAGTGAGGCCTTCCTATAACTATTCAGGCCTTTTCCTTTGTAGACTGAAGAGAAGCCTTCAGAGTCCCTTTCTTCCAGCATAGACATCTGCAGATGTGTGGCCCAAACCCCCTGCACCAGCAGCCATGCTAATGAAAACAGAATGATATAAGAGAGAAGTATTTCCAGCTCCAAGTTTTTAGTACTACTTGTCTCTTTTTATCTTTAGTGTAATGAGAAGGGTCCAATGGAGTGAGTGGGATAACAAGATTAGACAAAATCTCTCCTATTGCTTACTACCTAGTGTGGGCACAGGAATGGAGGAGGTAGATTTTATGATTTCCATGTGGATGCTACAGTATAGAGGAGATGTGTCTGTGACATGCCAAGCACATTGCACAGGTGTCGTGTTTAATCTTTCCAAAGATTATATAAAGACCGATTATTCCCGTTTTATAGAAAAAGGAGCAAGTTGAAAGAGTTTAAATTGTTCAACAAGAGTTAAGTGACTTTGTCAGTGACAGAGCTAAGAGTTCAATGAAGTATCCCACGTCTGCTTCCTGCATTTATGAACATTGTGGACTGATTAAATGTGAAGTGGCAGGTGTGTGGGGCATATTGTTAATAGAACATCCAAGAATCTGTCCTTATGGAGCATTCTACACTGAGGATGAGGTAAAGTCGTGTTGATAAGAGAAGCTGAGTGTTTGTAAAAACACAGGTGTGGATCACATGTCAGAGACATCAGCCCATGCCTGGAGCAGTCTTCTAGTTCCCAAGAGACAAAACATCATCAGTGCTTTTGGATTCTGGTGTCTCTGTAGCTGGGAGGAAGGCATTTTTCCTTCTCTTCCTTCCTCTTTAGTTTGTGAGCATCCTCTATGCCTACCATATTGGAAACCTCCTCCTTGGGACATTGCACCATAGGACAAGATGGGACTTCTTCACACTATCTAATCCATGGTCCTGGTTGTAGCATATCCCAGAGCTAGTATATTCCAAATAGAACAGACTCTAGGAATAAAATCTCATCTTCTCTCTTAGGTTGTATATTTTTGATGACTACCCTGTGGGGCTCAAGTAAATTCAGCAACTTTCTTTGGAAAAAAATGAGCTCATTTTTACATTCCTCTGTTTGCTACCATTTTTCAGTAACCTTGAGGTCAGCCTCAGAGTTCTTTGACTCCTTCTTTTATTCAGAGCCTGAGTGGCTAATGTGTCCAGGAATGCAAAATGTGTACCCCATTGGTTGAAATTTTAATGAGCACGAAGAGAACTGTATTCCAAGACCAAGGCTCTTGGGCCTTGAGGTCATTGCTGGGCCCCTCAGACCTGTGAACAAGCGGCCTTGAAACCTTATTTGCAGTGTGGGGCTGCCCATGCTCAGGTCCTTCCCAGACCTCTCCATAGGGTCTCCCTACCTCTCCTTTTGCTTTCCCTAACACCCACCCACCCACCCACTCTGAACTGATTGGAGAGCAGTTTTGGTCTTGTCATTTACACTAAAACTCCCCACTAGTTTTTCCTTACCCCAAAACAAAGCCCATCACAGCTTGATGTTCTAGACCTTCCATGCCCTGGCTCTGTCTTGGTCCTCTGTGCCTTGATTTTCCCAATAGCTCTGAGATTTTCTTCACTCCACCTATTCACCTAGTTTTCCCTTGAAGTGATACACCTTCTTTCCATTTGGCTATTGAAATTCTCTTTATTTTTCAAGCCTTGTGTCATTTATTAGCTTTTCTTCTAAAGTTCTGCAAACCATCATCACTTCAGTTATTAATCACATTTTATTGAGCCCCTTAGGCTCAATAAATGTCAAGCCTGTGGAACAAAGCTGGGGCAAACTATTTTATTCTTACTGTCACCAGATTGATGATCTAGGGAAGGAGGCAAGTCTGCATCCAACTAGCCACATAGGTAAATGTGCAAACTGCACATTGAGATTAGTGCTGTTAAAAAGTGGGAACAGGATTTGACTTGGTCATAAAATTTTCCTTGGGGTGAAATGAGTTCTATTTTACCTGAATGAACCAACAATGGACTTACTGAGTGATTAGGAGGGAGGGCCTAGCATAGTGAAGAGTCAGAGAATAGCAATGGAGGAGACTGGAGGCCAGTGTTAAAGAAAAGCGTGCAGAGTGTGTGGGGGAAGGAGGTGCAGAGGTTGGTGAGGCAGGGGATTTTGATCTTGGCTTAAGAAAAATTCTGAGACTATTTAAGCCAAGAAGGTCTCCAGTAATTTTTCTCTAGTGACTTGTGTTTCCTTGGTGTCCTTTTGGCTCATTTTGCATTATAGACAACCACTCACGCATTTGCCTTCTAACTTCTTTTGAGTCTGCACTCTGCTTAAGGGATGCTTGAGTTTTGCGTTCTCCATAGCAACTAATGGGATGCTGAGCAATATTCGATCAATGAGTAAATATGATAGTAGCCAGAGTCTTCAATCAATGGTGGCACAGTTTATGGTGCTTTTGTAAGTGCCAGACATCGCATTAGGAAGTAGAATACAAAGAGCCACACTGCTATACCCTATCCCACTCAGTACCTACAAGAAAGGGTAAGCTTAGACACCTGAAAACAGTCAGTCTAGTTCTGCACCTAAAACTTCCTGAACACTTCAAGAAGTAGGTGAGTAGTGGCCTGAGAACTGAGAGAACTTCAATAGGTGAAAATGACAAGGGGCTCTAAGTGGAAAGATTGTGATACGGTTGAGGAGCCACAATGGAATGCAAGAGAGCTAACAGATTCTGTACTTGACAGAAGTAGTAGAAAATGCAAAGGATAGAAGGAGATAAACTAGGAACAGGTGAATGGAGCCACGCCATGGTCTAGAGAGTTCAGAGACAATGTTCAAACTTTTCCAGGATTGATAACGTTAATGTCTAAAAATCTATCGATCAAATAAACAAAAATGCTTTTTAAGTGCGTTTGTAATTACTAATGGAGTGCTTTCCTAGAGGGGAGTTCTAAAGATGTCATTAAACTCTCTGAACTTAATTTTCTTATCTGTAAAAAGTGTTTATAGGATTGCCATGGAAGTTGTATAGAATGGATGGATACCCGAGAGTGACCAAGATTAAAAACTGTGCACACAGGCCAGGGTGATTTCCTATTTTTTTCTCCACCCCCATTTTTGCCCTCTACACACACAGAGGCACGCGCGTGCACACACACACACACACACACACACACACACACACACACAGAGGCAGGCACACTCACACACACACAGGCACACTCACACACACACAGGCACACACACACAGGCTCTCTCTCTCTCTCTCACACACACACATACACACACAGAGGCAGGCACACTCTCACACACACAGGCACACTCATACACTCACACACACACAGGCACACACACACAGGCTCTCTCTCTCCCTCTCTCCCTCCTCTCTCATACACATACACACTGTGTCCTCTAAACTGTACTTTCCTATAACATCCCAAGGGGGAAGTACAATAATGATCACCATTCATTGAGCACTTGCTGTGTGGCAGTTTCCTATTTGTAGTTCTGTGTTTCATATAATCTTCAAATCCACCTGTTAAAGCTATGTAGAAACCCAAGAGATGAGGAGAAAAGGCTTCCTCCCACAGCAGGAAGGGATGGACCCTCCTCCATGGACCCTGTGCTTTGTTCCCCAGAAAGCTGACCTGCTTGATGAGGAAGGAAGTGGAGGCTAGCCCGGGAACTCCCCCCTCCATCCTGATACCCCAGGGCCCCCACAGAGGTCCTGGCATTGAATGGAGAATTGTTGTGCTTCTCCCTTGTGCCTCTGAATGTTGATGTTTTGGGTTATTAAGGGGCTTGGAGATGGGATGGGGAGTAGGTTATGACCCTGGCAAAGGCCTGAATAACCATTGTTCCTTTCTTTCCCCCTTGAATGGAATTCTGTCCCAGTCATGGTGTCTCCCTCTGAGTTGGGGGAGGGGGTGGGTCAGAGGCCAGGAAAGGGGAGCCTTTTCCCACCACTTCGTCAGATAGGACTTAAACTGGCAGATGCATCTCAGAGCCCTCTTCAGCCTTGAGCCCCGATATTGATGCCATAAAAAGAGTCCTGGTTGGAGATAGAAGTTGGGATTGGGTTGGGTAGAGGAAAAAGGTGGCGATTCTGTAGTCCAGGTCTCTTGTGGACCCTCTGGGTCATCTGTGCTGTCCCATTACCCTGGCCCTTCCAAACCCACAGGGAGACTATTAAAATAAACAGGATGCTATCTTTAGAAGGGTTGAGTTTCTTGGAAGAAAACCTTACATAATTATGAAATAAATGTTGTTATTACTGATGAAAGACTTAATTCTGGGTAATGGATGAGAGTCCTCTCAAGATGATGCCCAATTTTCATCTTTACATGTATTTGTTTTGGAAGGACAGGAAATGGGTTGAGCCATGGCATGTGTGTGGAAATCAGTTGGCAACTTATGGGAATTTGTTTTCCCTTCCACCATGTGAGACCTGGGGACAGGATTCGGGTCAATGATTTAGGATCAAGTCCCTTTACCGACTGAGCCATCTCAGCACCCAGTTCTCTTTCTAACGCCCTGGGAAAGAACCATGGTCAGCTTCACTGCTACAACCCCTGGCCTTTTAGATGGAAGCAAGTTGTCCTCCTGTCTTCTGGATTCCCATTGTTCTTTGTTCTTTTCCTCTATAGCCCCTGGGGCAGGGCTATTCAGATGGCATATGAGTACTTCCCTGCATGAGGACATTTTCTCTCAAGTGAGAGTTACCAGAGAAATCCTGGCATATGTGAATTCATATACATTTACTACATAATCGCCTTTAGTGTCTGTTTGTTGTTTACAAAACCTCCCAGGGGGGAGTTACCCTGTTTTTCTGAACAAGAACTGACTGAGGTATTCTGTATTAGCTGGAAAGTGGGGCGATTTGTCTGCAATTAATATACCTGGATCCTGCGTTTGGAGGTGTGTTCTGCTGCCTGGAGGTGCTTCCTGTGCCCTCCGTGTGGCTTCATCTGCTTCTACGCTGGATTGCTTGTAGACTCCTGAATATGTCTTGTTCAAAACGGAATCGTATTCAGAACCTTACTAGATAGTACAGCATCCACCACAGAGTAGGACTGCTATTAATGTTTACCTGTGAATCAAATACAAATCAGTGATATTCTCCTAGTTCTGACCCTTCCTCTGTCTTACTTTGACAGGGACTCTACGTCCAGTTCGCCGAAACTACTACGATCCATCCTCAGCCCCTGGGAAGGGTGTGGTGTGGGAGTGGGAGAATGACAATGGTTCCTGGACACCCTATGACATGGAAGTGGGTATCACCATCCAGCATGCGTATGAGAAGCAGCACCCCTGGATCGACCTCACTTCCATCGGCTTCAGCTACATCATTGACTTCAACACCATGGGTCAGATCAACAGGCAGACCCAGCGCCAACGCCGCGTCCGCCGCCGACTAGACCTCATCTACCCCATGGTCACCGGCACTATGCCTAAGGCACAGTCCTGGCCAGTCAGTCCTGGAACAACCACCTCCCCCCCAGCACCACCCTGTTCCTGTCCACAGTGTGTTTTGGTGATGAGTGTCAAGGCGGCTGTGGTCCAGGGGCGCACTGGGCCCCATCAGCCTCCAGGAACACGCAAGAACATGGCTCCCTCTGGAGTGGGCAAGCTGCCCCCACCACCTGGCCCTGGGGCAAAGCCAGTAGACTCTACAGGCACTGTCCGGGGCCCAGGGAAGACTGCCTCATCGCAGGTGATTCGCAGACAAGTCTCTACTACACCAGCTGGGGCAACTGTGGGCTCCCCCACCAGCCCACAAGGAAGCAACAGGAAGACAGGAAGGGTGGCACTGGCCACTTTGAATCGGTCCAGCCTGCAGCGACTGGCCATTGCCCAGTCCCGGGTGCTGATTGCCTCGGGGTAGGTGTTCCCATGGCTGCCACAGAGCAATTACCCACCTCAGAGATAGCGTGTGACTCATCTCTGGGTCAGGCAGCAAGAGGGACTGGATAAAGCAGGCAAACCTAGTCTTCTCAGGCTGAGTTGCTCTGGTAGGTGGAAGCCAGCAGGGTGTAGACAAGGAAGGATATCACATTTGGGTACTAAGAGGTCTGGACATAACTGAGGCTTTGCCTCTTAGTTGCCATGTGGTCTGAGGCAAGACCCACACGTCAAGTTGTAATTTCATCATTAGTAAACACTGCAGATTATACCCATGTTACAGTCTCAGTGAGGGATACAGATGACTGTGCTAGGAAGTCTTAGCATTAGTTGAACTTCCACTGTGTTCTGGTTTAATGATTTTTATAATCTTTATAATGACTCTGCAGACATTATCCCATTTCACAGATGAAGGTAATCAGGTATGTTATAGGAGTTTGGCCTTGTGGTATTGCTTTCCTACCAGGCATTTCCATCAGTACAGGTATACAGTAGGTACCAAACAAGGATTGCTTCTTCCATGCTCCATCTCAGCATTCTTATGATATGCTGGTGCTGTTGGAGGTCCCATTAATGTTTCTTAGGTTCTTGATAACCCTCATCCACCAAATGGGAGTGCCTGCAGCAGCCTTTGCCTGACATGCTGGCTTCTTGTCAGCCCATCACACCCAACCATCCCCCTTTTTGTCTCCAGAGGTCTGGCCCTGCTACTGTCCTGTGCCCCAGATGGTTGAGATGGCTTCAGAGCTGGAATAGATCCCTAGACTGAAAATCCAGGCTGCCCTGAGGCAGTGCCATAGATGCTCAGCTGGGTCTCCAAACATCTTAACATAGGGAAGACTTAGCACAGGGAAAGGAAGGAAAGGGAAAGAAGACATGCAGCTGGAGTTGGGAGCACTAGGCTGGAACAGCCTCTATTCCTGCCTCTCATTTGTATAAACCCTTGGATCTTGCAAGGATCAGTGGCTTTGTGTTTCAAAGACCATCCCAAGTTTGTATAACCTGCTTATGGGAACATTGTGAAAACCTCTGTGGATAGAGTATACTCCTTGACAAGTTCCAAACATGCTTTCCTGTATTACCCACTTCTTTTACTGATGTATTTTAGGTATGGGCACTTTGCTAAGATTTATCTATCTTTGGAGGGTCACCCAGCTCACATGGTACAGAGTCGTTGGAACATAAGATTTTGTCCACTGTTGCATCATTGTTTTGTCTATAGCCTCAGTGACATGAAGGTAGCTTCCAATGCTAGTAGGAGGCAAGGGGTTCTCCTGACTTCCTCCATGGTGACAGAGGGGAAGAAGTGCCTGGATCCTGCTGCTCCTGTGCTCCTCTATCTTGGATTGCAGCAGAGTGCTAGATGCTCTAGCAGAGTTCCAGGGCGATTGCCAGCACACAGGAGGAGGCTCTGCGTGCACTTGGGAGTCCCTGATTGATGGACTTGAACTCAGGTTCCTTTCTGCTACTCGGAGTAGGTTTTGCATCCCCCGTCTTCAGTGTTCTTAGCTGCTGAGTGACTTTATAATAGTACTTCAGTTCTAGGGTCTCACAAAGGTTAAATGAAGCTTTCAGTTTAGAGACTGCCCAGAGGCCAGTGGGTAATAGCTGCAGGTGATGATGATGATGATGAAGAAGAAGAAGATGAACCTTTAGATATAAAGGTTATACACCTTTTCTAGCAGTTTCCTAGAAGGAGGGGCTCAGACTCAAATAGCTAAGGCCTTAATAGCAGAGGATAGGTTTTCTGGGGTTATTCAGTTCTTAAGGAACTGAAGTCAAAGCTGAACCGATCCAATTGACACCTCATTTTTGTCCCCCTTGATAAATGCCCCAGTGACCCCATGCTGTCATGGAGACAGATGCCCCTTGAACTGCCCTGAGTCTGAGGAAGTCAGCAGGGTTCATTTCTTTCCTTTATTCCTCTACCTAGCTGGACAGAGCAGTGAGTCTGACAATGCACTTTCAAAGGGCTATAGAAATGAGTTGCTTTTGCTGTCTTCCCGAAAGGGAATGCCCTCCCACCTCTGTGAGTCTTCCAGCCCTCTCCTCTCACCTTTCTCCACCTCCTACTCCCTGCTGCCATCTTCTTTTCCAGCTTTTCTTGGCCACTAATGAGCGTGTGTTATTCCCTTTGTCTGGCATTGTCGTCAGCCTTCTGTCATTACACAGCCAGTCCCCATCCTCTCTGCCCATGACCTCTTCAAGCAACACTTTCCCACAGCTGGGGGGTGGGGGAAGGAAGATCAGGGAGGGTAGGCAATGTGGGATGAAAGTCTTGGCAGGGAACAAAAGATGCTGTGAATTATTCAGAGACACAAGCAGGAGGTGCTTAAAAGGGGTGGGGAGGCCTATGCAGGGCAGCAATCACCCCTCTACCCCCAGAGTCCAGGTTTCTGTACCTCCAGCTAGGCATGGTTGTTGGTTGCCTTAGAGACAAAGCCATTGTCCTTCATGAGGCTTCCTGGGTTGGTGAATAACTTAGAAAACACTAGCTTTCTCACCATGAGGTCTGCAGGGATCCCACCCCCCTCACTCCCATTCAGGCTGCCCTCCCATTGCTGTGGTAGCTCCTCTCTTTCCTTGGTTTTATTTTATCAATGGAAATAAAAACGCGGACCCCCCCCCTATAACCGATAACAGCCCAAGAGGATGGGGGAAGGGCTATCTTCTGATTGGTCAGCACATGGCTAAGTCCAGGGGCTTTGGCTGAGTTGCCTGGAAGATATGAGAAGCAGTTTCCTAGAAGGAGGGGCTCAGACTCAAATAGCTAAGGCCTTAATAGCAGAGGATAGGTTTTCTGGGGTTTTTATTTTAACCTGGAACCATGGGGGAAGGGTAGGCAGGTGCAGGTGTTGCCTGCACACAATCCTCAGAACTATGCCTCAACTCTGCCCTTTATACCTGATACCGTGTGCTCAAGAATGTGAGAAAACTGGATTATTAAAGCAGGAAGTGGCAGAAATCAAGTCCTTTGGCAATTGGAAAAGAAACGTGTAAACAGTTGCCCAAATTTGCACAAGGCTCCACTGTTTACCAACTACTTGACCTAGATCCTGCAGCCTCACAGGGTCCCCGAGGGAGCAGACATTTATCAGGTTTTGTTTACAGCTGGAGTAAAAGCAGGCAGATGTGATCTCAGAATACCAAGGAGCTGGCCAGCACTGCCACAGGCAAAGCAAGCTGAGTACAGATGGGGCAGCCACTTTCTGTTTCTCCCTCCATGTTTGGAGTTTGGTGAAACACAGCCCGGACTGCACCGAGCTTCACTGCTGTTCACAGATTGTCCCCTTCTTGACACACAGGGACAGGGTGGTCCTACCAGTTGATCCCAGTTTTCCTGGGTGTTCAGGGGTTCCACAAGCAGATGTCCCCTATATCTCTTTAGAACCCCCACACTCCACAATTCTTAGGTTGCTCAGAGGATTGGAGTATTTCCTGGTTGACCAGATAGCCATGTGGAAACTTGCCAGTCCAGTTTGTGGGAACAAAGGTGGCCTTTGTCACTCAGATCACAGTATTTTATCAGCTGAGGTGGGAGCCATGGAGATGGTGAAAGGGACAGGTGCAGGGCTGTGCTACCCATGCTGTCCTCCCTGTGGGCAGCCAAGAAACATACCACAGTAGGTAGGCCTGCTCTTCAAGCCTCTTCAGGTATAGTCAAGTAGTTTAATGGGAAATTGCCAAGGGGACACGTTCTAACCCCAGACTACTGAGGCTTATTATTTGCATATTATTTGCAGTGTTTGGCCATTTACCAAACCCAGAATCAAGTCTGTTCCTTTTTCCATGGTCTAGTGACTCATTTAAAGACATCTCTTCCCTCCCCGCATCCGGTCTTGCTTTATTCAGGGAGAAAGAAAAGTAGCTTCTTGGTTTGTCCAGATATATAAACATAATGTCCTTTTATGAGCTTCACTACTTCTGTCTTCATCCTGGGCCTGTGCGGGACAGAGAGACCTGGCTGTTGGGCCTCTCTTCTGTCCTAATGGTGGCTTTGCTCAATACAGCATGCTGGCAGTGGAGAGCTTGGCATCATGGGCAGCACAGTGGACAGACTCTGGAGCCAGATACTGTGTGTTGGACTATTAGTTGCAATCTCGGTCTAGGATCTAGTCGTCCTAACCTCTGAGTACCCAACTCTGTTACCTATGAAATGAGATTGATAGTTATACCTCTAACATAGTTTGTTGGGAGGACCGAGTGGATTTGTCTGTTGTAGGCACTTATGGTTGACCCCTAGCCAGATCTGAGTTCGTGACTCATAGCCCATAGAGGAAGAGCCAGGGGTGTTATATTCACAGCTGTACTCCCAATGTTAAGCATAATTGTCCCAAAGTGGGTTCAACAAGTTCTTTTCAAATAGACAAATAAATAAATAAATATTGATTTCTTTCTACTGACTTCCCAGCACAGCCCTACCCCAGTTGGATTCTCAGGCTTCCTGGCTCCCAGAGGCATCTGTCACCAGCGCCACTGGCTTCTCCAAGCCAGCTGTGGAAGCCTGGGTGGCAGAAGCCTGGAATGGCACAAGTCCCATCTCTATGTGTCTCGTATTTTCTGTCGGTGCTTTCACTGTGGGCGGCCTAGCCTTTCCCAGGCAGCTGTGCGGGCTCCTCTCCAGAGCTGGGGAGGACGGGGGAAGGGGTGATTCGGCTTGTGTTTATAACTTTGTGGGACAAGGAGAAGTGACAGCTGTTCAAGCAGTGGTTTCCAAATGCTGGACCAGGGATTGCTACATCTCCACTCTTTGAGGAGCTTTGGTGGAAGTTGGGAGGCAGATTCCTGTGGTGCATGAGTTTGGGAGGGCAAGGATTATGACTCTAACCTTGGCTAAAGATCTGTGTTTTAGCCAGCACTAAGAGGAGTGTAAGTGGAAATGGGCCATGACTTGGAAGAACATCTTAGGTAGAAGAAACATTTATAAAGGTGCTTAGGCAGGAACAGGACTGGCAGGGGCTAGGACCAGCAAGAAAGAGTGAAAAAGTGTTGAGAAGAGGTTGGATGAAGGCTAAGGAAATTAAGATGGAGGTATTGGCAGATAAAGCAGGGCCAGCAGCTGTTGCTTTGACTGGACCCATTCTGGGCTCTCAGGTTCTGAGTGGAGGGTGTTGTGATTGGAGTTCAGTTTTGAACATCTTACCTCCCACTGATGTGTTAAGAACCCACTCACATTGGTAGGTTTAAACACTGGTTCATTTTGTTTTTTGTCAAAGCCATATTATATCTGCCCTTTCCTTCCGCAGGGTCCCCACTGTGCCTGTAAAAAATTTGAATGGGTCCAGCCCTGTCAACCCTGCCTTGGCAGGTAAGAACGAACTAACTGGGGCTGGACTGGCTGAGGCTGAAAAATCAGCCACAGAAGAGCTAATGAACACTTATTTATAAAGAGGAGAGAATTTTGGTGCTAAATGAAGAAAACGAGATCTGGGGAGTTCAACAAGAAGACTTCGGGTGGTGCTAATAGCTCAGCATGTCAAGGGTCTTGGGAGGTAGCTCATATAATGAAGTCTTTGACAGGCAATCATGGGGGCAACAGTTCCATCCCAGAGCCCCTCTTTAAAAAAAGAAGAAGAAAACAGTTTGGGAACAGTAATGTGTGTGTATAATCCCACTGCTTGAGAGACAGAGATGAACAGATTTCTGGAGTCTGCTGGCCTCCAGTTTCCTGATGCCGTCCAGACCAATGATACCTTGACTCAAAAAACAAGGTGACCATCCCTTCTAAGGTTCAAGGAACATCATGGAAGAGGTGGTGTGAAGAATGTAAGATGTGGAAGATAGGAGAAGGGCTGTAAAATTATACCTTAAGTATATTGCAGGCAGTTCAGTCATGATCTTACATTAGCTGTGGCTGCCTACATTGGGCCTGCATAAGAATGGGCTTGTCACTGATCGGGCATGGACTGGGGAGAGCCTCAGAGGAGCCTGCATGTCCCTGTTGAACTAGTGGTTACTGATAAATTGACAGATTCTGAGAGAGGGAGAGTTGTTACCTTCAGTTATATATACCCCATCAAGCTCTAATGGTCACACAGAAGTCCCTGGTCAGAATTAGTGGTTCACAAAATAGACATGAATGTGGGGCATAGACTTTTTGATAAAGGGAGAGGGAGTTAAGAGAGTGGGGGATTAGAACAAAGGTATATTTAATTTTTTTTTTTTTTAAGTGAGGTGGTTGGCTTTTGAGGAACAATTTACAAAGCTGTCTTCTGGCCTTCATCCAACCACACACCCAAGCATGCAACTGCATATGTAGAAAATTCATAAATTATAAAATGTGTCTGCTGGAGAAGAGGAGAGTGGGTAAACAGGAGGGAGGGTGTGGGAATCTCGGAAGCACATTCTTCAGCTCTTCCTCACCCCTGCCCTGCCCCTTCTAGGAATCACCGGGATCCTCATGAGTGCAGCGGGATTGCCTGTGTGCCTCACTCGGCCACCAAAGTTGGTCCTCCACCCACCCCCTGTCAGCAAGAGTGAAATAAAGTCCATCCCAGGGGTCTCTAACACAAGCCGCAAGACCACCAAAAAACAAGCCAAGAAAGGTACAGGCCTCTTCTTCTGATTAGGTAGCTGGAGTGGAAAGCTGGGCTTGCAGCTCTGGCTCTGCAGGCACCAAGGTCAAAGCCATGGCTTAGCCTCCTGTGCTGCCGCTTCCTCATCTGCTAAGCCGGCCTCACTAGTAGACTTTGAGGAGTCTACCAAATGGGTTGGGTGGGGCTCAAAAAGAACTACTGGGACACACATAAGCATGCAAAACAATAGTAGCAGAAACATAAAAACACTAAGTGTTGTACAAAGACGGTATGTTAGAAGAGACACTGAATCAAGACGCCCTAACTTGGTCACTAGCTAGTAAGTAGGGTGCAACTTATACTTTCTCGTCTTCGTAATGCCCACAACCAGCAGGTATATCCTGGAATATGCCAATGACAACTGGAAAGCAAACACTGTCTTAGATCTCTTTGGAGCTTCTGAACCTTTGGTCCCATGAACCCTGATTCAGAAATCACTGCGTACCAGTCCATAATCCAGCTACTAAGGGAAAGGGCACCTTCCTTGATGCCAGCAGCTCTGGGTTGGCTCTGTGGCTGATGGTCCTGCTGGTGCTGTTGGTTATGAAACAATCTGCTTCTTCTTCCAAGCCTTCATCTTACAAACTTTTTAGGAACTTTTAGTCAGAATGGATGTGTGTAAGTAGCACTTAGCCTGGGCCTGGCAGTAGAGAATAGGCTCTCAATTAATAGAAGCCTAATTCTTTCAAGAGAAGCAGAGCATTGGGAGAGAAGGGCCTGCATCTCAGCATTTGGCTGTTGTCTGCTTAATTTCCTCAAACCCTTGTCCTACTTTTCCTGTCTATTTCAATTTCCCTGCTTCAGTGAACTCACATGCCTTGTTCTTCATCCAATAGGTCAGGGCAGAGGTTTGCACTCCTGCTCTCTTCCTGGCATTATTAATAACACATACTGTCTCCTTCTCTGGCAAAGTACAATTGGGCAGTGCATCCAGCAGCCAATTAGTCGTCAAAGCACCCACTGCAGTAGGTGCTATCAATTGTCCTTATTTTATGGGTGAGAAAACAGCTTGGAGAAGCAGGGGAATAGCCCCAGATTCCATGGATTTCTTTGCTCTGTGGCTTCTTGTAAACCCATGTGTACCTCTTCTGCCTTCAGGTTAGCTTACTTCCCAAGGATCCAATGCCTGAAGATCCTTAACTTCTGTGACTCTTAGCATGCTTCCCAGAGCCTTACCCTTTCCCCACGGCTGGACTGCATCTCCTGGCAGGAACATCGCTGGTGAAAGCCAGGGAGAATTGTCCTGAAACTGGGGGTCACAACTTCCTGCTTTCCCATAAAAATAATTTGACTGTGACACCATGTTACAAAGCTGAGATAGGGCTTAACAAGTTGTTGAAGGAATGCAATCCGACTGACTGGTGTTTGCGGAGCAGGGCAAAGGGTTTTCATTTCTCTTTTCTCAAGGGATCATGTGGGCAAGTCTAAGTTCTTTGGTTATCACGAAGAGAAACTCTGTTTATCTCAGTGAAAAATGCAGATTTGCTGAAATAGGCAGACATGTCAGAGAGTGGGCTGGAAGAGGTCAAGGCAAATAGGAACATCATCCTTCCTCAAACCGCTCTGATCTGGGACAACCTCTATCCTCATTCAAGCTCCTTAAACCATTGCAAAAAATAATTTGACCTCCTTATCTAAGCTCCAACCCCTTTCTTGTGTGTGAGTGTGTGTGTGTGTGTTTGTGTATGTGTATGTTTGCAAGTATGCATATCTGTACACCGAAGGTCAGCCTCAGTATCATTCCTTAGATGCCATCTACCTTGTTTTTTTGAGACAGGATTTCTTATTTGCATAGGGGCTTACCAGTTGTGCTAGAGTGGCTGTCTGAAAACCCCCCAGAGATCTTGGCTTTTTCACCTGGTTTCTGAGGATCAAACTTAGGTCCTCATCCTTGCAAGGCAAGCACTTTAATGACTTAGCTTCCTCACAGTCCCTTTCCTCTTGGAACTTACATCTCACTCTCCTTTCTGAAGCACAGAGGATGGCAAGACTAGTTGATCCTGTCTCTTTGGCCTTGATGACATAGTGACTCTCCTGTCCCCATAGGTAAAACTCCAGAGGAGGTGCTAAAGAAGTATCTTCAGAAGGTCCGGCATCCCCCAGAAGAGGTGAGTTCAGGGGGCATAGGGCAGGGTCACTTTCTCCATCACCAACTTCCCCATGTCTCCATCACCAACATGTCCCCATGTTCTACACAGTGTAGCAGGTGCTGCTTTCTAAGTTCGGGCTGGCATAGAGCAGATTTAGCTGATGCCTTCACTTCAAGGTTCCTATAGTCACAGTTTAACTTGCCCCATTTAGCAGAATTATAAATGTTTGTAAGCTGCCTTCCATGCCTGTCTGAGCTTAAGCAAAACAGTGCGCCAAGCCATGTGAACTCCCTCTAGAATGGATTTGATATGGACCAGTGATTCTCAACTGAAAGGATTACCCCTGAGGGAACATGTGGCCTTGTGTGGACATTCTCTGGGTTGTGGTGATTGACTAGTGAGTGTGCTGCTAACATCTAGTGGGTAGAACCAGAGGAACTCCAAACACCCTATAGGGCCTGGAACAGTATCCACAGCAAAGCATTTCCTTACCACAATGTCAAAAGTGATGACATTGGGAAATAAGCCATAGATATATTTAGATACAAGTCCCCTCTATATATTTGCAATACAATACCTTTACAGATATGCTGCATAAGCAGAGCTTGTCATGGTATCTGTTGACAAGCAAATGAAAGACACCAAGCAAGGGCAATGTCACATCAAGATTATAATGTAGTCATTGAGTCCAAGTTTAGCATTTTGGGAATTATTTGAGAAATTTCTCTGCTGTATAAAGCAAGACACATTTAGACTATATTTAGAATCACCCCCAACCACAGCACCCCTGATTTGTGGACTTTATAGAAGAGAACCACTCGTCTGATGTCTGCCGTCATATAGGAACCATTATGCTGTGGCTGTCCTGGCTGGGTGAGAGTTGATGCCTGTCTTATTTTTCATCTACCAGGACTGTACCATCTGTATGGAGCGTCTCACAGCGCCCTCTGGCTACAAGGGCCCACAGCCTACAGTCAAGCCTGACCTGGTGGGAAAGCTGTCCAGGTGTGGCCACATCTACCACATCTACTGCCTGGTGGCCATGTACAACAATGGAAACAAGGTTAGAGTCCATGGGTTTTGGAGGGGTTAGTCAGCCATGATTTATCCCTAGGTGTCCTTGTTCTCCCACAATATGGCTTGGAACATGTAACCAGTACTCTAGGTATATTTGCTACTTGACTTATTGCTGTGACAAACTACTGGCAGAAACAATTTACAGAAGTGAGGGTTTATTTTGTCTCACAATTTAAGACAGCCTTTCGTGGTGAGGAAGTCATGATAGTGGTAGAAGCTGGAAGTAACTGGCACATCCATGTCCATCTGTAATGAGGATGCAGAGAGTGATGGGCGCTGGTGCTCAGCTCACTTTCTCCTTTTTATTTGGTTCAGGACCCCAGCCCATAGAATGGAGCTGTTTACATTTAGGTTGCTACAGCCCAATCTAGAAACTCCTCGAAGCCTTGGCCAGAGGTTTGTTTCCATGGTAAATCTGAATCCCACCAAGTTGGCATCAGGATTAACCTTCACCTCAGAGCAGCAAGAATGAACATTTTAACTGTTTGCATCTTTGCTGTTTTCAGCATTAATTAGCCCCACATTGCAAAATCTGTCTTCATTTTCCCTTTGGGCCAAGATTCCCCTCCTGTCTAGTTTGGGTATGCATGGTAGTCTAGCAGAGGTGAGCTTTGTGAAGGTTCGGAGGGAAATGGTTCCTGCACTGGGTGAAGTGGGTTCCCACCAGTGAAGGAAGCCTTCATCACAGTGCTGCACCTGAAATGAGAATTTCTTCATTCATGACACTGCAAGTAGGCTCCCAATAGCTTTTATTCTTCATGCCTGTGGCTTGAGTTGAAAATCATCTCTGAACAATGTCAAAACCTTGGATTGTCCCTGCAAAGGCATTGTCAGAGTACCTGATCACCCCAGCATCAACTGTCTTCTCTCCATTAACCAACATAGGGCACCCCCAATTGTAGTTGTTTTAAAAAAAAATCTGCATGTTTTTCCTTTCCAGTGTCTGGGCTTTTTGAAGTCATTGACTCGCATGCTTGCCCAAGCCTAGATCCGCTGTCACCCCTTCCCCTGTGAGTTTGAGTACTACTCATGTCTCTGGACTCAGCTTACTTTGCATCCAGGTCTGAGATTTTCATGATGTCTCTCAACTTCTTCCTCACTCAAGAACAGTCTGGATTTTAGGGACTGCTCCTTCTGTCCTGTGTAGTGGGGAGGAGCAGGGGAGGTATAACAGGAAGCACACCTGCTTAGAAATCTTGGCTTTTGAGCTTAAAGACTGGAAACTTCTTCAAGATTTCACTTTCCATTTCAAAAGCAGAAATGAAACAGTAGCTGCTGCTCCCCTCTGTGAGTGGTGTGTGTGTGTGTGTGTGTGTGTGTGTGTGTGTGTGTGTGTGTGTGTGTGTGTGTGTTCATGCTTGTGCATGAGGAGGCTGGAGGATAAGCTCTGGTGTTATCTCTAGAACACTACTTACGTCTTTTGAGACAAGGATGTCTCATTGCTCATGAATTAGGCTAGGGTGACTGGCCACCAAGTGCCAGGGACCCTCCTGTCTCCATCTCTCCAGCACCAGGCATTCTAGGGATGAAACTCAATGCTTGTAAACAAGCTGCTTACCTTCTGTGCCAACCCTCCCCTCCCCAGATCTGTGGCTGCTCACAGATGTTATGGCTGCTATTCTCAAAAAGGCATCTCCTTTTTATTGTGGCTCTCATTTTCTCCTTTTTGTGTTTACATGGAGTTGAATTTGTCATGAATTGACATGTTCCATGGCTTTCAGATGCCCTTCATCATTGGTGAAAGACTCAATCTTCTCTTTCATAGCCCAGGGCTGAAATCTTTTATTAGAGCCTCATCGTTTAGAGGTTATTTGGAATTTTTAGGGTGTCTTAGCACATTTATTTCCTTTTCAAAGATTCTTCAAGACTGGCCAGTAACTCCATGTCTTCAGGGCTACAAGCCACTGTCCTTTGTTCTCCATTTCAGTGTTACTTTGAATCATTTTTATTCTCCTAAGCACACTGAAGGAAAGCATGGAAGAGAATGGACTCATTTGCCCCAGGTCTTGAAACAAATTGAGGCTAGTGGAGAAAGCAGGACCCTGATTTCAGAGAGCATGACGATGAATATGAGCTGTTACTTAAAGCAAGCCAAGCTTGGATAGGAACATGCCTAAAGAGTCCTGAGAGGGTCTCATCTCCTTTCCAATAACTCCAGGTGTCTGTCTGGCAGGGCCTTGGCCCAGCTGAGCAGCATCCATTCTACATCCATGCTTGCTGCCCATGCCTGCTTCCTTCACTACTCCCCTACCTTGTCTGTGAAACTGAGACTTTTCTTTGCTGTCTGGGACCTCTAGCAGGTCATCATCAGCCCTACCAGATCCTGCTGTGAAGTCACAACCATTTACATCACTGCCTCCATGACCCACATTCAAGTCAGTGTTTATGATTATGGCAAAATATGTGGAAAACCAACAGAATAGGAAGGAATGGCTTTGTTCTTGTTTTTAGTTAGTTTGTTTTGGCTCATCATTTCAGGGGTATAGTCTGTGGTTGTCAGACTTCTTTGCTGTGGGCTTATGATGAGGCAAACCATGGCCACAAGCGCATGAGGTGTGAATGGAAGAAAGCCCTGCATGGGTTTATCATGTAGCCTCTGTGTGTGCCCTCCTGCCCTCCATTGCTTCCTTTTCTTCCTTCCCTTCAAACCTCCTGGCTGCCATCAAATCACTCTGCAGAGGCTCATCAGTGAACCACCAGCCCTCATATCTGTGAGCCATGGAGGACAGACCTGTGAGGACCTGCAGTGTGATGTAGTGCAGAGGATGGGGAGGGTTAGGGGCGTCACTGGAATTCCAGCCCTCCCTGGTGGCAAGTACTTCTCTCTTGATGTCCCTCTGCTCCCGTTACTCTTAAGGGAATCTCAGTTGCCTTTAATCCCAGCACTTGGGAGGAAGAGGCAGGTGGATCTCTGTGAGTTCGAGGCCAGCCTGGTCCACAGAGTGAGTTCCAGGATAGGCTCCAAAGCTATACAGAGAAACCCTGTCTCTGGAAAAAGAAAATTAAAAAATGAAAACAAAAAAAGAAACTTTTTTTTTTGTTTTATCTATATAAGAGTCCCAGCTGTTTAGAACTTGGTCTGTGGACCTGGCTACCTTAGAACCCATAGAAATCCACCTGCCTCTGCCTCCAGAGTGCTTGAATTAAAGGTGCACCATTGCCCTGCAAAAGCCATTGTCCTTAAAGCCACTTGTGCTCTTTTCCAACACAGGGCCCAAGCATGGGTCTCTCCATAGGTATCATAAGCACACTAAAATAGCATTAAATATGACATATGCTAAGTATCTCACTTAACTTCCATTAGCCCAGTGAAAGAGGAGAATTATATTTCTTGTCTTACAAGGAAATTGAGACAGATTGATTTGTCTAAGGCTACAAGGCAAAGCTGAGGCTTGAATGCAGGCAGAGCTCATACTATGAACTCCTGCACTTCCCAGGCTCCAGATGTCTTTAACTTTACAAAGTTTCCCGGGTGAGTCTGAACTCAGCAATCGGGCAGTTGTTGCTCTTGAGCAGTTACTGTGTGTTCTACCCATGTTAAATTGCAGTTCCCTGTGTAAGCTTCCTGCCCTAGTTAGCATTTCCTTTCAAGAACAGAGGTGTCTCATCTATGTGTCTCAGCTACATGTGTCATTTTCTTCCAGCTATTTTAGAGCTTAAATAGCTAGAGAGGTTTTCAGATCTGTTATCCATTGAGTGAATTTCGTCTTTTGAAACTTTGGTCTCTGGTGCTTTAGGGGCTCCAGGAAAAGTCATGAACAAAGTATTTTCCTAATCTGTCTGTACTGGAAATGTGTTTCCTTAGGATGGGAGTTTACAGTGTCCAACATGTAAGACCATTTATGGTGTCAAGACGGGCACCCAGCCTCCAGGAAAGATGGAATACCACCTCATCCCCCACTCCTTGCCTGGCCATCCGGATTGCAAGACCATCCGGATTATCTACAGTATCCCGCCTGGCATTCAGGTGAGGCCACCCTTGGATGTTGTCACTTGCTATTTCAACTTTGAACGTTTAGGGGTAAAATACTATACTAGTGAAAATCTCCTTCCCATCCTTGTCCCCATCCTGTGTCTCACTCCCCTGGCTCTCCTCCTTCACTACCATTGTCCTTATTTTTCTGTACCCTTCCAGCATTCTTTGTGTACACTCCATGTAGACTGCCTGCTCCCCTCCTATTTTTGCACAAATAGCTACATTTAGGCACAGTGACACTCTGCCTCTTTCAGCTAACAATATGAACCTTACTTTTTCTTTCTATGCTCGTATAGAATGTCCCCATTCTGTCTATGTCTGTGTAGTAATCCAGTGTGTGTGTGTGTAATATATAATCTAGCACCTCCATTAACCGCCTGTTTAGATTGTTTGTAATCTTTTACTACAGCAGATAATGTTATCACTAATAACCTAGCATACCTGTGACCATATCTGAAGCAGAATTTCCTGGAAGCAGAATTTCTTGGACAAACAGTTATTTGCAATTTTTTTTTAAAAAAATGATGGTTATGCTTTTTGTCTTTGGCTGCGTTTCTTTCCTCTCTGGTATTTGAAAAACAGCCCTCAGGAACAATGTGACTAATAATCCCACCAGTCAGTGCAATGCAGCCCTCCCCTCACACAATGGAGCCTTAGGTGTTCCGGGGAGCAGACTGGACTCATCCCTTAGCAAACGCCCCTTAGCTCACCCTCTCTCATCCCCACCCATGTCTTCCTGCTTGTCTTTCTTTTTGTCTGGCACATGTTTGCTTGTGGGTTATGCCCAGGTGTGTGTGTTAAGTACGTAAAACAGTGTTTGAATTGGTGCAGTCTTTGGTCCCTGGGGCCAGGAGGGCGACAAACAAATAAATGACAAAGTACTTCCATGTAATGGAAAGTTATGAGGAAATAAAAGAGAAAAGTGTGATAGTTCATAAAACGTGTGTTTTCCCCGGGGGCACTTGGTAGCCATGCAGAGCAAGATAAATGCCTTTCACTCCCAATCTGGAGAGCAGAAACGGGTGTGCACCAGCGATGAAAGTGACACAGACAACAGGAAGCGCAGAGCTTCAAAGTCTTATGACCCCGGGTCCCACTTCCTGTCTTCAAGGTGCCTGCTTCCTCCTAGATTCAGTTTTTTTCATCTGTACTGCTGGGAATCTGCTAGGCAGAGGGCCAAGGATGGGAGATCCTATCTGTATACATCTCAGGGTCCACTACCAAGGGGCTCAGGACCTTGTGTCTTGCTGTCTGATTGGCTGATTTATTAGGGTGAGGAGCAGGTGTTTATGGGTGGTCTATCTGGAAGGTGGGAGGAGACTTGGTGGTTCTGGACACTCTCTAGTGAAGCCATGAAAGACATAAAGAAATGCAGAGTGCATATTTAGCTGGAGGAGGCAACAGTTGTAGAGAAAAACTGCATGTTTATGGACTGTAGAATTTATTCAGTTGGGAAGCTCAGACTTGCAAAAAGGTATAGGAACTGGTGAGGATGTAGGGGGAGGACTCAGAAGGCCTGGAATGCCAGGACCAGGCATGAAGACTTAGGTTATGGGGAGCCCCTGGAGATAGCTTGTCTGATGAGGTTTATGAAGCACCATGTAATTGAATTGAGCTTTAAGAAGCCAGTGTGACTTCAGAACAAATGAGTGGACATATGACCACTGCAGCACTTCAGGCTCCTGAATAAGGGGAGAGCCAGGGTAAGAAAGTAAGGTACAATTCAATTGGCTGCTGCTCAGGATAGATTGGTAGAATGGTTCTGGGGCAGCTATTGGAGTGGTAGGGAAGAATGAAAATGTGGGAGTGGGCTGGCTCACTGGCTCACTGGTAAGGGTGCTTGCTGCTGTCATGACAACTGAGAGCCAATCCTGATAACCCAAGTTCAATCCCCGAAACCCATGAGTGGAAGGAAGGAAATCACTCCTGCATGTTGTCCTCTGACCTCCACACATGCACTGTGGCACGCAGGTACACACACACACACACACACACACACACACACACACACACTAAACAAATGTTAAAAAGAAAATGAAAAGGGTCCAGCAGCAGGGGTTAAAGTAGAGGTAACAGCCAAGGTGGGCCATATTTTTAAGCCTCCAGAGTAAAGGAGCAGAGAGAGCCTCTGTAGAGGGGCCAGTGCTGCCTATACCGGGCTTTAGCAACACCCTGGCTTGTGAAAGGAAATGCACCCCTAAAGAGTCAGATGCTCTGCAGACTTGTTCCTGTGAGTCAGTAGCTAGATGCTCGGTGCTGTGTCCCTTGAAGCTCCAGGGATGATGCGGGCTTGAGCTTCGGTGAGCTGAGATCTTCAAGCTCCACTTTCACTGCAGAAAGTGAGTCCCTTTGGGAGTAGCTTTGGGCCAGGCTGAGGCAGAGTCGTGACTGCTCTACCTGGCGACAGGCCCAGAATGCACAGCCTTACTGGGTCAGTGCCAGACAGGCTGAGTTGGGCATACACCCAGCAGCCCCAGGCATCAGAGAGGCAGTTAGAACTATGGTCAGGCTTGGGCCCTCAGTGATGAAGCCTGGCTTAGAAGAGTGTGGCTATGGGAATGTTGTACATTTGTCTGGATGTGAAGATTTAGTCTGAATGTGAAGTGATAACTGTCAGATTCTTTTACTCTAAAAGAATGTCACTCTTCTTTTAGCTCAGAGTGACATTTGCACATTTTAAAAACATTTTTCTATGATCAAAATATACTGTGTAGATATATAGAATTCTCAAAGAATAAATAAAAATATACCTTTAAAAGTTTTTAATATTTTTATTCTTTGGCAGTTTTATATATGTGTACACTGGGTTTGATCATTTTCAATCCTGTTGCCCTCACCTACCAAAATCCTTTCACCCAACAATCCCTCTCTCTTTTTTTGAGTCAGTGAGTTTAATTTCATTCATTTATTCATTCATTCACTCACTCATTATATAGCTGGCATGCATTTATTGATCTCTGGAAGAGCATCTCAAACAGCTGCATAGAAGTGTCAATAATTTATGGCTTGGACTTATAAAGAGTTTTAAATAAGGTTCTGCTTCCAAGGGGTCAGGAATGTTCAGAAATTATAGACAAGCATTTGCATAGGTGGAAAGCTATTGTGTCAACCCTCATAAACTTCTCAAAGTGACCAATGAATGTGCTGGGGCCTGTGATAGTTCTGTCAATGTGATACAATTGAGAATCACCCAAGAAGAGAATCCTGTGAGCGACTGAATACATTAGTTTGGTTTATAGGTATGACCATTGTGTGTGTGGGGAGATTTCTTGATTACACTGATTGAGGTGAGAAGACCTGCCCACTTCGAGTGACATAATTACAGGAGATCTGTAATATGTAAGAGTGAAGAAAGTGAGTCTGTCATGCCTGTACTACATCTTTGCTCTATGCTCTTGACTGTGAATATAATGCTGGTTTCACTGGGCAAGATCTCCTGGTACCTCAGCTCATGACAGCAAATAGACAAGCAAATGCACTCAGAAGAGGAAGACAAAGAGAGGAGAGCAGCCTTGCTTTGTAAGCAACATGCTTTCCCAACAACTAACCTGGTCCCTTGAGTGCAAGATGAGAACTCTCAGAAGAAAGGCATTCATCCCTACTGACAACCTCATCACCTCTTATGTGCCTCAGCTGCCCACAAGGATGCAATGGAGGCCAAATTCCAGCAAGACTTTTGGAGGAACAAACCATACCCGGTACCATAGCATCTGGGTTCTGACTCAGTTCTCCTTGGATGTCTCTCCTACTCAGTGTCTTTTGACGGGCTTGGGTAATAAAGGATTGGGTGGTGATTGCTTCAGTGCCACAAGATTTTCATCCGTGAACATTGCAGTCTGTGCTGTTGAATAAGGAAGTGAAACCCATGAAGACAAAGGAGAAAATCCACAGGAATCATGCAGAAAACTGACTGCATGTCTTGGAGCCCAGAGAACTTTATTATTCTGAGTAATTGCTTTGAAAGTCCAATGCGCATGCCTCAGAGAACTTGAGATTAAGTTAGTTTTGGTAAAGCCAGTTAGCTTCTGTGGGCTGTGGCTTTTATCATTCACAAAATGGTAGAATAGGTGGTGTTGGTACTGATGATGATAAAATTTACTGTGCCTTTCCTGGATATGGGCACCTAGCTCCCTGAGCATTAGTAACACCCGGTAAGGTGAGTATTCCAAATCATTCTTAACCAAAGAGGGGAATTCCATAGATTCCAATAGAGAGCTAGCAGCTGCAGCTGTACTCCAAACTCAGATCACATGATGTGTGTGACAACTTAGCCTGACCTTTTTTTTGGTTTGTCCTCTGTGTGAACTCTGTGGCTCTTGTTATTGTCCCACTAAGCCTGTATTAGCTTCTCATCAGAAATGTTTTTGCAAGATGCCTTTGTTTACTTTCTGCTTTCAGGGACCAGAACACCCAAATCCTGGGAAGAGCTTCAGCGCCCGTGGCTTCCCACGACATTGTTACCTTCCAGACAGCGAGAAAGGGAGAAAGGTAAGAGCAGATGTTCTGTAGCAGGAGTAGGGATTGATTCTGTTTCTACAATGTACAAACCATAGAAAAGAATTAGTATCATTGGTATGTTGTTTTGCTTGTTTGTGTGTGTGTATGTTACATGTGTATGATATTTATGGGATGCAGGCACTCATGTACCACAGTGTGTATATGGAAGATTGGAGACAACTTGTAGTCAGTTCTAGTCTTTGTTTTGAGGCAGGGCCTCTCTTGTTTCTTGATGCTGCACTGCCTACTCCAGACTAGCTGGCCTGATAGCTTCCAGGTGATTCTTCTGTCTCTACCACCCACCTCCCCTCAGGAGTGCTGGCATACAGATGTATGTCATTGCATCTGCATTTCAGCATGGGTTCTGGGGATCTGAACTCAGGTCATCAGACTTGCATAGCTGGTGCTTTCACCCACTGAACCATCCTATCAGCCTGATTAGACTGCTTTTGCAGGTGGTTGGGAGTGGAATGGCTTTTCCCCTCTGCTCAGGGTATTGTTGGCAATAATCCACTAATTATAGGATCTTTATCTAGAGCCCTGCTGCTTAAAGCTGGTCCTGGAGAAACACTAGTCTTAACTCCTAAGAGCTTAACTGAAACTCCGAACTGGAACCCATTTCATCTTCTCAGGATCCCTGGCTGTTCTATTCTGAACACACTCAGAAGCATGAGCAGGGTGTTCTGGGATCTTAATTGGTAGCAAATTATTTCATTTGTTTTCTGGATTCCTTGCAATTCATCACCAAGACTTTTAAATATTCTAATTGGAATGACAGGATTTTCATACTTTTGCCTGATGCCAAGAGGACTAAGAACATTAGTCTAGGGGACATGTTGGGGAAATGAAAGAGACAGGCTTCCTTTCCAGATCTGAGAAGCCTACTCAACAAATGTCTTTCTTTCTGCATTTTGTGTGTTAATGGTTATGCTGCTATGTCGGATTCAAGTGTATGTGAACATATTTGATTTCCAGCAAACTGCCACAGACCATAGACAGAGTGGCTCATGAGCAGCAGGTGTTTATTTCTTACAATACTCGGGTCTCTGAGGTCCAAGATCAAGGCGCTGGCAGATTCAGAATCTGGCAAGGGTTCACTTCCTGCTCATAGACAAAGCCTCTTCTCTCTGTGTCCTCACCAGGGTGAAAGGGCAAGAATTCTCTTCCCAGTCCCTTCTTATATAAGTGTTAATCTCATTGATTTTCATGACATAATGAACCTCAGAAAGTTCCATATTCTAATACTCACTTTGGAGGCAGTGACAGGTCACATGGATTTAGGGGGTGCATAAGCATTTACTCCCAAACCTCCCATGTATCTTCCTGCTTTGGAAGCCAGACTGGAGGGTTTCCCAGAAACATAAATGAGACCATAGAATGGTCCTTCAGGGCATCTAACAGGATTCCAATTGATGAGGATGCTGGAAGGCAGAGTGTCTTCATGATAAACAAAATTAACAGTTTGAGATTCCCAGAAAGTAGTCAGGAAAAGATTCCTATTCAAGGAATCTTATGGGTATATATCCCACCTGTAGCCTGGCTTATTGCTATTTTAACATTCTTATTTGAAAATACATCTGTGCAAAAGAAATATCTCTGTGTGTGCAACCTTTACACCAAATGTAAGTTGTGCTGTAATTCTTGATTTTCAGCCAGCCAGAGGTTTCAACTAGACTCCAATGTCAAGGGCTGTGAGTATGTTTTGTCCTTCCAAGGAGGAAAAGGATAGTTTGTAACAAGGACACCATCAAGAAAGATGCACTAGTGCCACATTCTCAAATCAGAGTGAGAATTAAGGCAGGCAACTGTTTTCCACCTCAGCCCAAGACCTGCAGCTGAAGGTCTTCCCTGTAAAGTTTGCTGTTAGGACTGCAGTTGTGAGCTGAGGGATTGATTCTGTTGGTAGAACACTTGCCTAGAATGTGGGCAATCCTGGCTTCCATCCTCGGCACTTCTAACCAAGTACCTTACACTTGCCTGTAATCTCAGCACTGAACCTACTGAGTTTGAGACCAGGCTGGGATATGTGAGACTGTGACAAACAAGACTACCCTCATGTTGCTGAGAGCTACTCTCTTTCTAGACCTTCCTCTTTATGTATCAACAGACCCCAAATCCTTTCGACCCAGGCTATGCACGTGACCCAGGCTATGCACGTTCATTAACTTGAAGTTCTTGCTTTCAGTGACTAAATACACTCAGCTCATTGTTCCCTCTGCATTGCCTTCCAAGCCACTTAGCCACTTAACCCTCTGCTAATCCTACAGGAGAGGGCTTCATCTTTTTCCTGATACTATGTAAGGAAAAACACAGTGTCTGGCATCAAGCTCCTTTGTTTAAAAGTAATTAAAATTTAGAATAACATATAGATGTTTCAATGGCCTTTCCCTTCATTACAAAGTATACTTGGTGTAACATAAAAAGTCTCCACCTTAAGGCCTCACCCTCCCTGGGGAGCAGAAAGGAGATGAGATGGGGGTTGGTGGGGGGAGCAGGGGAGGAGGGGAGGGTGAGGGAACTGGGATTGATGTGTAAAATAAGCTTGTTTCAAATTGAAATTTAAATTAAAAAATTATCAAAAAAAATCTCCACCTTACAGTAAGGATGTAAACCATCCCCTCTCACCAGTTCCCTTAAGTACCATTATTAGTAAGTGTCCTTCATATGCATAGGTCCATGACCCTAACCTTGGCCTTTGTTTCAGGTTGGGTAGAATAACAAAAAGGTCTGTTCATACTTTTAGTTCTGCCACTTAACTAGTGATGGTTCAGTGAGAGACCTGACTCAAAAAAGAAAATGGGCAGAGAATACTACAATAAAACACACAGCTTCATCCAGTGGCCTCCAAGTACACAACACATTCAGTTGTGTGTACCCAGACATGTATGTACACATGCATACAACCTTTGGGTGGGTGATTCCATTGCCATTTTGTAAGTAAACAAATTAAAGCTCAGAAAGATGTTTGAAGTAGTCAGAAGTTACACAGCTATTCAATGCCAGAGCCAAGATTCACTCTATAGTGCCTAGAGTTCAATTTCAGATCTCTTTCTCTTTGAGTTGTTTAGAGCATCATGATGAAGGAAGGACTGGGGACCTTGGGATGAATCCACCATCTGAAGACCAATACTTAACAACTGCTTATGGTCTCTCAACCTTTGCTGCCCTAGGTTCTGAAGCTGCTTCTGGTGGCCTGGGATCGACGTCTCATCTTTGCCATTGGAACCTCCAGCACCACGGGCGAGTCCGATACTGTCATCTGGAATGAGGTGCATCACAAGACAGAATTTGGATCTAATCTCACTGGCCATGGCTACCCAGATGCCAACTACCTGGATAATGTGCTGGCTGAACTAGCTGCCCAGGGTATCTCTGAAGATAGCGCTACCCAGGAAAAAGACTGAGGTGGGAGGGTCCTGGGGACAAATGGGAGAAAGTGGAGGGAGTCGTGGTGGAAGTTGATGCCATCCATGACTCCTGACTCCCTCATTTCCCTTCTGGTTCTGTCTCTACCCCTCAACCCTCTCAGTCACAGAGGGAACTAGATTAAAGTGATGTCATTCATAAATTTTTTCCAACACAAACAGGATGTGGGTGAGGCCACTCCCCCATTTGTCCCCATGGTGTTTTCAGTGCTGGGTAGGTAAGAACCTGCATCTCTGCCCTCCCTTAAGTAGGGGATATGGTCAGCACACGTAAGGTCTGGGCAATGTTGAAGCACTCTATACCCTGGCCTTGTGAAGCTGAGATTCCTTACCTAAGCTGGCTTCTTGCTGCTTCCACTCTGCTTTGAGAGCAAAGTGCCCCCCCCCCCCCCGTCTACTGGAGTCAGGGAGCTCTCACTGTGCAAGACTGGGGGGTGGGGGAGAGGTGTAGACTGCTGTGACATCAGAAATGGGATGCCTTGGTGTAAAGTAAGGAAGCAGTTGTACTAAGAGGGTCAGAGTCAAAAGCCTCGAGAGCATGTTCAGCTCTCATTATCGTTCCTGGCTTCTCTGGGCACTCCCCTCCTCCTGTCATTGACCTGTCCTAGGCATCTGGTTCTCTCAAGTGGATGAAAGTACTCGGGGATTGCCCTCTGGGATGGCATCCTGTGATGCTGTTTCCAATCCCTCTCTGATCAAACCAGAGCCTGCATCCCATTGAGCATCTGTACTATCCTCAGGGAGAGGAGCCCACAGCCTTCTTCCCAATTCATCTCAGACCAGCTCAGTTTCATGAAGTCACTGTGAGTTGGAGCCTATACTGGGCTCCATGTCATCTGTGTATGTGCATATGTTTGTGTGGGTGTGTGTGCATCACTGGGCTAGGTTGTTGGGAAGGTCCCATTGTGTCTTTGAATTCTGTTTCACATGCCAAAGCCCAGTTCTATTGGGGATCCAACAGTAAAGGTGTGGCCCTTTGATTTTTCTCACCCTTTGCCAGCCCAGCTCATGAAAAACTTGGACCCTGATTACACAGACCTGCACTTTGGAAGATGTGTTGACGTGAGAGCGACATTGACCCTTCACTTTCTTAGATCAGAGGCAACCTCCATCCAGTCTTGTTTATATGAGAGCTCAATTCAGATTCTCTAATTCAAGCCAGAGATGTTACTGGTACCCCTTTTTCCATGCCCCATCGAGTGCAGACTGGCCAAAAACATGGTGGTGGAAACTTCTTTAGCTCATGGTTAGAAATGCATTCTAGTCTTCTCTAAGCTACATCTGGGTGTTGTCCCAAGATGCAGTCTATCCTTAATATCTTCTCACTTTTGGCTCCATTAAAGAATGGATTAGGTGTTTGATACGAGAGAATGAAAAATCAAGAAGGGAAACCAATGTCTCCTTTGGAAGTGGTTTCTTTGAATTGTGTTTGGAAAAGTTTCTCTGGATATTAATTTGAATTTATGTACCTCATGATTTGAGGGTTTGACACACACACATATGCATATACATATGTGTATATTGTTCATAAGATTTGAAAGGTTTTGATGCTTGAAGGAAAAGGGGAGGGGAAATAAAACATCCTTCTACAATGGTACTTGAGTTAGAACTGGAGTCCACACTTTCACAACACCCCACTCTTTTTGGGCCTCCAGCATTGTTGATATTGCTGTGACCAGTAGAACCACTCTAGTGCTTCCTCGCCCAGTTCCCTGGAACAAGCTGGTGCTGAATTTCCTTCCACTATACAAATGGCCAATGAAACTTTAATTGCTTCCCCCTAGGGGGAGCTGTGGTAGGAGAGAATGTTCTGCCATTTTAGTCCAAGCCCTTCTATCAGTAGGAGGCCATTTTGTCTCACTGGAAAACCAGGAGACGGCTGAGGTCATTGAGCCTTGGGGAAAGCTTCTACCACTATAGAGAAAGAAGCGTGGGAACTAAATGGAAGACATATGTCATGGAATTTAAAGTCATGCCCATGCGTTTTATGAGGTTAACACGTTTCAGAAATTATCAGAGACTGATTGAAGGCTTACAGTCATTTTTGTCTTCAGTGCCCTTGTCACCTACCTGCCCTGCATCTTGGCAACAGTGATGAGTAGATAGATGGGAATCCATGGGTAGGAAAATGAGATCGTGGGAAACAGAGATGTGGAAATGGGCAGCAGGGGACATTCTCACAAGGCAGGAGAAACAGGACCCAAGAGGACTTCTTAAGGGAATGATTGTTCTTGAAAAAAAAAAAAAAAACCAGAACAAATAGTTTGAGAGTTAGTCTTCATGCCTTCAAGAATTTCCACAGGGTACTTTGAAATATATATGCCTCATTTCCTTCTTCTCTGTGGATGCTCTGAGGGGCTATCCCACCCTGGTCTTTTACTCTTTCAACTTTCTGAGCTGAAGGAACCTTGGAATTCTCAACAGTATACTACTGTCAGTCAAAGCAATGGCCAGTACCTGGCTCTTTCTCTTGGCCAGTACCCAAAAAAGACAGAATTTATTTCAATGTGATTGGGCCCTGGACACCAGCTACTTTGTTTTCCCAAGAGAAGCCCCTATATGCTCCTGCACCAAGCAAGGGTCTCCACGTTTTCCCTTTCATCGTCTCAGCACCAGGACCTATGTTCTTCCTCCCTGAGACTCCGGGGTTGGAAATGGGATTGGAGACACGCCTTGTGAGATGCTGACCCCTTGAAGTTTTGTGGTATATCTGTGGCTGTCTGTGCCTTTGTGTTTCCATTCCCTTCTCCCTTTTGTCAGATTCAGACTTCTCTGTGGTTTTAAACGTGGTCAAAAGTACTTGCCCTGGCACTGCACTGTTGTGTGCAAGAGAGGTTTGGGAGAAGGCTGGCATGGCTCAAGAAACAACCACTGCCCCCTTTACTCGTCTGTTATCAACACCATCTGAATGGAGGTTTCTGGGAGAGGGCTGGTGAATGTCCAGATGTCAGGTGTTCTGTTTGTAACTGCTATGATTTGAAGTTCTTGGTGTTGTTCTACGAGAGGACATCGCCCCCTGGTGCTCATGACGTGTATGTGCAGAACAATAAACTGCAAATGAACAAGCACAAATTGTTACTCCTAAGGGCCTGCTTTTGTAGAAGTGCTTTGGCACCTGTCTCAGAAATATGTGGGTTACTTCCTCTATGTGTGGGAAACCTCAATCCAACCAGCTAGAGAAAGGGAAAACCCCTTTCTTTACTAAAATTTCCACATCTCTTCTACCCTCCCAACACATTTGACCTAGCTTGACTCTGCGTTCCCCTCAAAGAGACAGACATGCATAGCAAGGGAAATGAATACATGAATTTTGGCTGGGAAAGGTTATCCTGAAAAACATGGACATTGGCTTCTTGTGTGTGAGGGGATGCACGAGTATGTGTGAGGGATGCATTGAATGTGAGGGGGTACATGTAGGGGGTGCATGTGTGTGAGAAAATGCTTGTGTGTATGGTACAGGTGTGTGTGAAGGTGTGCTTATCTTCATGCACACATACTGAGGTCAAAGGTTGACATCAGGTATCTTCCTCTACCATCTTCTGCCTTATCTTTTGAAGCAGGGTTCTCTCAATGAACCTGAAAGTTACCATTTTGGCTAGGATGGGCTGGCTAATCAACGAGCCTCACGAGCAGTGTGTTCTTACCTGCCAGTGCTCCTGTTACTGGTTCATGCCACCATATATCTCTTACATGGATGCTGGAGATATAGACTCAGATTCTCATGACTCAGTAGCAAGCACTTCACTAAACCATCCTCCCAGCCCTAAACACTGACCTTTAAAAGGTCCCTTCATTTTCAGACAGTTTTTTATCCCTCAAATGAATAATTTTTATTGTGCATCTGAGTAATCATAGGAATACAAAATTAAGAAGCACACATGTAGTTTCCTTTGTCACCAAGGAGTATCTCCATCTCTGATATCCCATGGAGTCTGACTCACGTGGAAACCAGCCCCGGTCTTTCTGTAGACCCCAGCCTTAGAAAGTAAGAACCTAGAAGAGCCCCGGAGCCTCACCCAGGATGTAGGGAAGTGACTTGAGTGTGAACCGGAAACCCCAACATTCTGACTTCCTACAGATGAACACCCACACAGAAGGTTGCTGAGTACACATTTTAATGTATATTTACACACATTTTTGTTAGTAGAACTACATGTTTATGGAACAAATTTTTAAAATTTCATTAGGAAGTTTGTGCAGTAAGGTCTAGGAGCCTCCTGTGCCTTGCTTTGTAGACTCGGGAATTCTTATAGAGAATTTACACAGGAAAAGCTGTTTTGAGGCCTCTGGTTTCTGCTACACTATCGATGCTGGGCCCTCACTAGGAGTCTTCTTGCATATCCTGTTGTTGCCCTGTGTTGAGATGCTGCAGCTTTGGGTCTGTAGGTCAGGTCAATTTACATGCTCTAGCAGGTCAGAGATGGGGTGGATGTTGGGGCAAGCCAAGAACCAGGCAATGACTCTTTCCAATAAACACTTACAAGTAAAGTTACATAGACAAAGGGATTTACTGTCTGACTCATGGTGTCACATTGCAGCTTTCATGACAAGCGCTTTAATTGATTTTCTTGTTTTCTTTTAAATCTTGTTTTATTTTGGGTGGGGGTACAGGAGCTGAGGGCAAAGGGTTGGAGAAATGAATGGGATCAAGCTATCATGATGTAAAAGACACATAGAATACATTTTCAAAAAGTTAAAAATAACTGGCAAACTCCCCACAAAGATGATGTGGTAGTATACTTATCCATACATAAAATAAAACTGGCTGTTGGATACATTAAAGAAAAAGAAAGTTATTAGCTTGACTGAAACGTACAGAATTCACTCAGAGCCCACAGTGAACATTTTAATACTGAAACGGGCAGGTTTGGTGAAGGAAGCCTCCTTCACCTTGGCTGAGCAGTAGGGCAGTAGTAGTTCAAACTCAGTTGTTCACTCCTCTGTATCTCAGCTGGAATTGGATGAGTAATTCTCCCCACATTCCCAAAGGCTGAGACACTTGAAGCTCTTCAGAAGGGCCTACTGTTTGCCCTGATTGTCAACATTACGGAGAGAACACATTATCTTCCATACATGATAGCCCACTGGTGGTGTCCTATGGTGAATAGATACATAATTTCTAAAGCAGCTGTGGAGGAATGTCTATGTTGCAGAGAATTAAATCAGATATTAAAATTGAGTGAAACCCCAACTACTGCCAGGTGTCAATCATGTATCCTGACAGATGCCCCGTGAAATTCATTTTGTAATTGAAATAAATGTCTCAGGTAGTTCTGGATGCCTTTTCCAGTTAACTTAGTGACATAACTTTTTGTCACATCAACCCTGTTTCTAGCAGTGAAAACCAGAAAAGCCTAAAGGGACAGAAGAGGGTGTTTCTGTGTAGTTTTGGTTTTAGGAAAGAAATGATACTTAAATAGAGGCTTATTTTGACTTTTGCATTTTTTTTCACCACCAGGAAAATGAAAGTTTCTTGTTGGAATATAGGGAATGTTTATGTGACTGTACTCACACTCATGATAAGAAGACAGGAAGGAGAAAGAAATAGGAAGGATGAAGGAGAGGGAAGGATGAAGGCTAGAGAGAGAGGAAAGATGAAGGGGGAGAGAGGAAGGGGTTATATATTTGAAACATAAACATGAAACTATAATGCTTGGTCTTTCCAAAATGCAGCTCCACTCAGTTCTTATTTATAATACTATTAGTTGACAGATTAAGAATTCAATTCTGGAATAGTAGCATTGTCTCCAGAACCCCAGGTTTTATCCTTAATTTCTTATTTGTTTCCCTACAGTTCCTTCACCCCTCATCCCCTAACAGAAGAATGTAAGTTAAAATATTTTCTGAGAACTTAACACTGTTCAAAAACCCAAGACTGATCTAAACTAAGTGCTAATTGTGGGGCAGTTGGGGAAAATGGAGGTTGTATAAGCCCTTTGCATGCCTGTGAGATGACTCCAGGAGAGGAAACCCTGTAAAGCAAGACAGAGTCCTTAGAGTTAAAGGGTAGTGGCTGTGTAGGCTTCCTGTGGCATTTTAGGGTCATGTCTGCTTCTTGGTTTATGAAACCCAGAGAGCTTCTTTACAAGCAAAATGGAAGTAATAAGGTACCTAGAGCACAAACCCCTCCTGCTCACAAACTGGAAAACCTTTTGACTTCAGACTAAATCCCTAATCTCCACCCAAATGCAGTCTCCACATCTCTTTTCATACACATGCATTCAGGTAAAGACAGGTATGAGAATGGATGCACACTCCCTTCATGCCTTGGTCCCAGTCCAGCTTTTCCTGACTGAATCACCGCCCCCCCACACACACCTCCTTAAACAGTCCCTTTAATTTCCTGGTGCAGAGGCCTAAACAAGAAGTCCCACAGCTGTAATACCTGCTTTCTGTTGCAACTGTCACTTCAGTACTTAGGAATGTGCGAAAAGTGTGCTTGAAGCTGTGGCTTGAAATGGCAGAGACTGTTTCCTTTGGAGACAATTAGGCTGGACTTGGATCCTGTTCTCCGTTAGAGGCTGGTGATGCATCTGTTGCTAAATTTCCAACCAAACTCTCTCGCTCCTCAATTGCCTGGTATTCCTTCTTCTTGTACTTCCTGGTACTGTAGATGGCCAAGGCAATGACAACCCCAAGTGCCATGATGACTCCCAAAGTGATTACAGCTGCTTCTCCTCCTGACATACCACTGCTGTCCCCATGGATGACTGTCATGGCTCTACGCAGCTCCAGTGGCTCTCCCAGCTTCCACTGGTTGGTTTGGGGGTCTTTAATCCAGGATCTGGCAGTCTCACTACTGGTCACTATGACAGTGTTTGTGGCAGCTTGGCTCATGAGGGGTGGTTTGGTGTAAGGTGGGAGCCTTACAGGGAGCAGAGACCCTCCAGTAAAGATCCCAGCCTTGACACAGTAGGACACTTGGCATCCATCACTGATAACCGCTAGGTGTTGGCTGAAACCCCCAGGACACTTTTTCAGAGATGGTGCTCCTATGTCTTTGGATGTATTAGAATCAACCAAGGGGTTACCCATTATACAGCTAAAGAATCCACCAAAGGGGACTGAAAACCTGTACCCCAACTCATAATCCAGAGAAACGCATACCTTGAGGTTCTCAAACAGCCTCAGTGGAATGTAGCCAGCTGGGCATGACTGTGCATTTGTCATGGGGTTGATGCTCTTGTCAGTGAAGACTCCCCCAAAGAGAAGTCCTGAGTTTTCAGGTACCTGGCCAGTTGCTGCACACCAGTAAGCCCTGAATTCAGCCCTGGCCACTCGGAAGACATCTTCACACACTGTCTTGCAGAAGATTTTGAGGGTGCATTTCTTTTTACATTCCAGGCGACTGTAACCCTCCTCATGGGTCTGAGAAAGCAAATGGACAGGAGAGTAGCCAGAGGGACAAGAGAAATCACCAGTGAGCAGATTCTTCTGCTCTAGGTTTTGGCAAAGAACATCCCCCGACAGTTCAGTGCATGCCTGGTAAACTCCACCAAAAGTGAAGTTGGTTACTTTCTCATCACATGAGCCGTCATCCATATTGGCTTGAAAATTGAAGTTAGGGGAATCTACATTTGTGCAGCCAGGGTGGGTGTTAAAAGTATAATAGTGTCTCACTGCAGTTTCCACTGTCTTCGACAACTTCTTCACCAAGGGACCTGGCAAGCCAGGCAGCTTGTCAGGCTTGATGAAGAAATGCAGAGGCAAACCAGCACGGTCTATTGCCACCAGGTGGTTACCGATGCCCTTCTGCCAGGTTTCTAAGGTGATGCCTGGGTAGAATGGAACCCCACCCATGCCCTGTACCCTTGAGTTGGTTCGGTTAGAAAGATAGCTCTTGCTCAAAGCATTCTGGGAAGTATAGTCTGCCTCAAGTTTGAAGTTCACGATGTTGAAGAAGGCAATCCCAGCAGAGGCAGTCACTGTGTTCTGGCTGTTCTGGTTGTCCAGGAGGAAGGAGGACCTTATGTGGTCCTCCTGAACTAGTGCAGCCCCAGCATCCACAGTAGTGATTACATGTGTGCCATAATTGAGGACCAACAGTTCTGCCAGGTAGGTGGCCATCTTTGTCTGATTTTTCTCTAGCTGGTCACAGATGTCCATAAGTGCCTTCATAAACCCCAAGCTGAGTTCTGAAGTTGGGCTGTTTTTGACTGTATAGACCAGGTTTCTTACCTGAACCCTGGTGGTTACAGCTTGGTCCTTCACTTGAAGGGTCTTCATCCTTTGGAACTCCGTAGAGAATTTGCCATTGACTTTGGAGAAAAGGGAGAGTTCTGTGTTGATGGAAAACGAGGTGGTGCTCTGGTAATTCACCCAGGAATCCAGGATTTCTGAGTTCATCTCCAGATTGCTCTCTTTCTGAGGAATGGTAAAGACTTCATCAGGAATGATGTACTGTCCATCCTCTGTGGTCTTACAGTTGGTGTATGTCAAGTCCATCACCCATCCCATGTCTGTATTTCTCAGATTATCCCAGCCACCTCCAGGTAGGACCTCTAAGACAGGTAGTTTCAAGGCATCCTTGCATTTTTGAAATCCAGTCTTAGCAGGCTCTCCAAGAGGCTTGTCTGTTTCAGCATGTGCTGCCATGGTCCAGATGATAGCCAGGGCCATGACACTGTTCATGGTGCAGACAGTTCCAGCCCCAAGCATCTGCCAGCAACACTGGGGCAAACAGAAAGATGGGAAAGAAAGCAGTTGCTGAAACAGAAATGTCCACAGTTCTAAAACTATCAGTTCCTCTTTACGCTGCTCTAATTAAGAAATGGAGAAATGAAAACTGATTGGAATATTAGAGACCATTGGGACCTTGTAAAAATTCTTCTACACTGGATATGCAAGCGCATACTTTTTACCATTTACTCCCCCATGTCCTCTGCCCTGCCCTTCTTTTGCCAAAGCGGCAGATACCCAGTAAAAGCATAGATCCAATACACTTACCACTTCTCTATCAGAAGGCTCTGGTCTGGCTTTTTGTTCACTCTGTTTGACTGATTTCAAAACTTCCTGAGTGTTCTCGTGTAGAATCACATTACTAGTTTCCTTTTACTGGAAATGCAGTCCTTAGTTGCAACTTCGCCCTTATTTACATACCCCGCCTCTACTAGACAGGCTCTGTGTCAAGGACAAATCTTGGGTATCTCATTGGCAAGGAGGAAAGAGTAAAGAACCTCAGATACTTTTGTTTTGTGAGGTCTTGTTGTTACAAGTTCTCACAGTCCTGCTTTGGATATGGAGTTATCACCGGCTGAACTCAGCAGTCTAGAAAAGCATTCCGTTTGCCATGTGCTGGGAAACCCCAGCCTGAATTGTCCTGAGTGTTCTATGTGAAGGGGAGGGCTCCCACACAGGGCTGCCTCTCTCCTTTCAGATAGGAATATTTCAGAGAAGACAAAATCCACATTATAAATTTTGTTTTACTCAAAGCACACACTGGCTCAGAAGGGTATGTACACATGTCCACACATTTGTCTGCTCTTTCCCATGTGTGCAGTTTTAAATTAAGCAGTAACTGACCATACCTTTAACTTTTCCAGCCCATTATTGAGTGTTTATAACCAGGACAGCTGTTCTTTTTTACTCAGGTTAAAAGGACTAACATTCGTTTCTTGTGTTGCCAGGAAAACATAATCATATGAGTTTTTTTCTAGCCCCTGTAGGTTTAGAGAGATGTATTCATTCCCAGTGATCAAGTGTCAGGATTAAGGGAAGGAAGCTCAGATGAATTACATGGTTGGAACAACTGAAGTGGTCTCAGAACATTTTGCAGACAGCCAGGGATTCCATCACAGATGGGCTGCACGTGGTGCCCTCATGAGGCCCAGAATCATTATGTCTCCAAGACGCAAAGCTAAGACTTTAAAAAAGAATCCTGTTTTAGCTTTGGTTGGTGCTGTCACCTGTACTGGCTGTGAAGCCAAGCAACTGAATTATCTCAGGCTGTCCATGAGATAGCAGAGAGCATTTTTTTTAGATGGAACAAGGCTGCCTTTCACAGACTTTGTCTCACTAGTCACTTTTCAGTCCCCAGTGGTATTCTGTAAACCCAGAAAGGTCTCACTGTGAGTCTGTTCATGCCAAGGTGTTTGGGGAAACCAACTCACACCAGCCTCCAAGACGAATGAATTCGCAAACCATGCCCAAGCTATCCTAAGCTGGAGAACATAGTCCAGCCACTGCAAAGGATGCTTTAGTTTATAAATATATATCCATACCACAGGAGACAGCCCTGAGTTAAAAACTGAGAGTTGAATGAATGGCCTGCAGTACTTGCAATAACTCAATATTTTTACCCTTCCTCTTAAAACAAAAACAAAAAAACAAAAACAAAACCACTTGTTTCATGGACACTTACTTGAAGAAAGAAAGACTAGCCATTTCTACTTGTTCTGTCTTTTCTAGATTCTGTGGATTGCTGGGTATGTGGTTCTGTGGGTTCAGTGTTTATTGTGCAAGTATGAGGACCTGAGCTTGGATCCTCAGAACCCGCCTAAAAGTGTGCCTGTATGCTGGAGGATCCCAAGAGCCTGCTAGCTAGTGAGTCTAGCTAAGCTTCAAGTTCAGTGAGAGATCCTGGCTAAAATCAATTCAGGAAAGATCCTGATATCAACCTCTGGCCTTCACAAGTCCTGCATGAGTGAGCTCATTGACACATATACACCTTCATCTCTCTCTCTTTCTCTCTCTCTCTCTCTCTCTCTCTCTCTCTCTCTCTCACACACACACACACACACACACACACACACACACACACACTGTTGAGACCTTGATGTCTTGAAGTGAGAGGACAAACAAAGACAGTTCTGCATTCAAGTCTTTCTAAATTACTAAACATTCTATCACTTTTTATTCTTTTTGCTTTTAGTATAGTTTTCCACTCTTAATATTACATAACACTGAAGACATTATATAACAAAATATTCTACAGATGACAAAATTTTTTCAAACAATTTTGAGTTAATGAGAAATCATTGTGTTATCTCGATTTATAAAAGTGATAATAGGCCCTTAGCATAACTCCAGATATGATCAAATATATAAAATTAGAGGCTTCAGCACCAACCCATCGACATCAATTATTATCTGATCAATAGAGTTTTTTGAATCATTTTTTTTTACTCTTAATTTTCCAGCTTTTTCAGCAAGAGAATGTCTTACTTCTTTGAGATTTTTGTTTGTTTTGTTTTTTTTTTACTGAGTATTTACCAAGTAACAGTGGATATCATTTTGTACTAAGTAAAACAATTAACAGTATAACAGAGACAAATATTTTAAAATTTTTGGTTTTGAAATAACAATTACAACATTTCTCCACACCCCTTCCTTCCTCCAAGCCATCCTATATAGCTCTCCCAATTCTCCTTCAAATGTGTGGTCTCTGTTTTCACTAACTGCTATTGCATACAAATATGTATGTAAATATGTACATAAATATAACCTGCTCAGTCTGTATAATGATCCTTGTATTTATGTTTTCAGGGCTGACTGGCACCGGACAACCAATTGGTGTGCTCTTATTTATTTATGTGTGTATGTATTTAAAGTATCAAATGACTTTTGGAGCTTTCATGTGCCGGGTGGTTGAACACATGGATTTTATGATTTTTTTGCTCAAGGAGGTTCTCTTTTCAGCTGGTGGGAAACAATGAAAGGGAGAAGTGGAAATGTAGGGCATAACCTCCATTTGTACACCAGGGCTGGAAAGTGGGGCTCAGAAAGGGCAGGCGAAGATTTGACTACTATGTCTTACAGGAGTTTTACTCCTACCTACATTTTTCTTTCCTTTTCCTTGTACTGAAATATGTGTGCAAACACATTCTGTCCAGATGTCTCCCCTGAGGGAGTGAAGGGCTGAGTCAAACCACTGAACTCTGACCTTTAGCAGAGAGAAGCAGCTCTTCTGCCCAAGGTATGAAAAGCATTTTCACTTCCTCCAACGGCAGCAAGAGGGAAGTCACACGTCTGCTTTCTTTCCCAGTCTGAACACGTGCAGCTCTTGTGACACTATCATGAGGAGTCAATCCGTGATTAATGTCTGAGGTTCACTTCTGTGAGGGCTTGGAGTCTGTCCAGGTGTTCCTGACATGTGTGTGCCACCAGTGGTCTAAGATGGTTGCACTAGCCAGGACCAGCATACTTTGTTTGTCAGGGATCTGGGAGACCAATTTGAAACCTGAAATACAAGGCATTGCTTGCTAAATGGAGCCCAAAGCATTGCTAAATGGAACAGAGAACTGTGACTCATGTAGACGGTGATGAAAATGGAGGGCTTGTGTGGCACAGAGCACAATGACACATTTTTATTTCCTAGCAGTTGACTTCTAACCTCATAGTCTGAGCATTGCTTTGTCAACTCAGAAGAAATTTTTTTGCACCAAGTTTGTCTACTAACCACACGCATACACACAAACACACACACACACAAAACAAGAACTCAGTGCTCCCCTTTATTCTGGAGGGTAAAAACAGAAGGTTTAGAGGAAATTCTGCATAGTCATCTGTGAAGCCAGAATTTGGCAGCCCCAAGCCATTTTATTCTTTATTTTCCTGAGACAGCACCTTACTGTGTAGCCCTGACTGACCTGGAATTCTCTATGTAGACCAAGCTGCACTTGAACTCACAGAGCTTCCATCATATTAAAACAGGAGGAAACTTTGATGCAGTTGGTTGGAACAAAAACACAGATCTCACCTCAAAGAGAAAAAGACATAGCTTATTCTGGGTTCAAATATGAGTGACCTGGAAACAGATTAGGTCACCCAACATGGTAACAATTTCATGAAGTTTTTACCTAGAAAGAATGAAGACATTCATAAAACAAGTTATTTCTAAAATGCATCGGTGGGAGCACCAGACAGTGAGCTTCAGCAAAGCTGCCAAGCCTAGTCTATAGACTCAGGTTCTAGCCAGGCGTTGGTGGCGCACGCCTTTAATCCCAGCCTGCTCTACAGAGCAAGTTCCAGGACAGGCTCCAAAGCAATACAGAGAATCCCTGATTCAAAAAATCAAAAGAAAAAAGAAAAAAAAAAAAAAAAAAAAAAAAAAAAAAAAAAAAGACTCGGGTGCTATCTGATGGCATTCTTAACCTTTGAGTTGGTAGAAGCCAGGGATCTGTTTGTAGATTCCAGAAATGATGTTCACTGATAGTTACAAGGATTAGGTCAAACATGGAGGTAGACAATAAATGGTTGTTAAGGAGATTAGAGATAGCTCAAGATAATCTCACTCTCCTTTTGAGCTGTTTACAATTAGAACAGTTATTATCAGTCAACTCTGTAGAACCCTCAACACCATTGGCACAGCCTTTGGCTGGGAACTTCTGTCCATTGTTTCTGGTTTTGGCCTAACATCACATTTTTACATGAGAAGGCCAAAGACAGTATCATGACCCATGATGCTGGAAAGGCTGATACATAAGAGCTGATACAGATGAGACTGAATTGGCAGGAAAGGCAGAATTTTAGAGAGAGGGGAAGATAGCTGATAAAGCCATTCAGGAAGAAATCCCTGGCCATTTGCTTTGTGTATCTGATACTGCATTAAATAGGACGTACACTAGATTAAAGATAAAATAATTCAGAACACAGGATAGCTTAAAGATGTTAAGAGGAAGGGAACACTCATTTTAACCAATTGAAAAGCTTCATTTAAAAAAATATCTATTCATTTTTATGTGCACCCATAGTGTGTAGGTGCTGCAGAGTCAAAAAGAGAGTGTTGAATCCCCTGACTGACACACATGCTGAGAACTGAACCTGTGTTCTATGCAAAACCAGTGCTCTTAACCAGGGAGCGATCTCTCCAGCCCCACAGAATCTTCTTTTTAAACTAGATTAACTATTCCTCTTGTGTCTACAGCTGTTTGTACTCTGTAACATGTTTTATTTGATGTTTGCAGTATTTGACCTGATTTGTTTTCTTCCAATTTAAGTTTTCTGTTGGCAAATGCAATTTTACAGCCATAATCTCACACAGAGTTGCCTGTTTTAATTTTGGAAAATATTGATCTTTAGTATCTGAGTTATTATGGATACCTTATGGATAATAACTAGTTCTATCTTATTGTC